TCAACCTTAAACACTAAGGTTAGAGTTACGATCACCTTAAGAAAAAGTTACGCCTGTTGCACAAAACAACCTTAGTTATCAACCTTAACTTAAGGTTAACCTTAGTTAAGGTTGCTTCGTGCAACGGGAGGTTAACCTTAGTAAAGGTCTAAGGTTGTAATCTTAGAGATAAGGTTGACCTTAAGAGATAAGGTTGTTTTGAACAACGGTGTCATGTAAGAAACTAATACAAAAGTGATCTCAAAGCTTTGTTTCAATGTTACTCACCCAAACATACATAAAAACAATAAAAAAATAATGCCGCATGATAATATTTCTCAGTCCTACCTCTCTCTGTTTTGTTTTGCGTTACATGAAAGTGTAATACTTTGGTAAGGAATAGCAAACAAACTGGTAGGAAAAAAAGATGGGCATTGAAATGTGCACATAGTCGCCTTTGCACTGTTTGATTTTAGGGCTAAATTAAAACGTAAAATCATGATATTTGTTTACTGCTGGAGTGAGTGGGTGAGTGAGTTAGGCTGTACGCCGCTTTTAGCAATATTCCAACAATATCACGACGGGGGACACCAGAAATGGGCTTCACACATTGTACCCATGTGTGAAATCGAACCCGGGTCTTCGGCGTGACCAACATACGTATTGAACACTAGACTACCCCGCCGCCCCGTTTTTCTGCTGAAAGTATTCAATGTACATGTGTTGAGCCAAGTCCCAATGTTACGTTTCAGTTTCCAAAACAACCAGTTAAACAAGAAATCTCGCACAAACGATTCGGTGTAAAACCAACTAAAAGATTGATATACAGCAATTGAGGTGAGGTGAAATTGGGTTTAACGTCGTGCTTGAGAATATTTCGCTCATATGACGACGTGCATGCGTGTGTATGTGTATTAGCGACTGCTTCTACTAGCCCAGACTGAAGCTGGTTTTATAGTGCTAGCTCACTGAGATACCATGCCGCAGTGAAGCATGAATACCCCACTCAGACACAATATACTGACTCCGAGCCGACAAGTCCTTGCTGTACCCATTAATGCCGAGCGCCAGGCAGGGACCAACAAGTACCATATTTTAACGACTTTTGGTATGATGCGGTCAGGGATGGAACCTGCGACCTTCCACTCTCCGGGCGGACGCTGTAACCACTACACCACGGAGGAGGTCCGATATACATCAATTAACAAATTGATTCTAGAATTAACTATGTTTACAACCTATACAAATAAGTTCAAAGTAATCAAAACGGGTGTACTTAGTAGAGTGGCAATACAAAGTTTAATTTCAGTGCACCAACAATCACAGTATAAATAACTATTTTGGATTAGTCCGTTGCTGTTCTAGAACATTCCAGATTAAGTCTGACTTCAAAAGAATCAAAATATAGTAATTCCTCGCCATTGCATAGATTGTATAATTACACATTAATTATTGCTACAACTACGTATTATTAAAACCTGCTATGAACTTCTACTGATGCTTAACGGAAACATTATAATGCAATTATACATGCTTTATCAATATATCACCATGCCATTACACCATTACAACCCTTACGGACAACAGGTTATATTACAGAATTGCGAAATGTTTACAACTGCATAAAGACGACTATTAAATAAGCATTATTATTAATACTTCTTTGTTTGGTTGATTACTTGTCTAAATGCCAATTTCATACACGCAGTAAGATGGCGTTTTTCTCGCACAACATAACAGCGCTTCCGGACCCAGCGAGAGTGAGTGAGTGAGTAAGGTTTTACGCCGCTTTTAGCAATATCCAAGCAATATTCCGGCGCAGGACACCAGAAATCGGCTTCACACGTTGTGTTCATGTGGAGAATCGAACCCGGATTTTCAACGTGACTTCGGCCAGTGCGTTAACCACAACTCTACCCCGCCGCCCCCCTCCACTGAGAAAACTGCTTCATCACTCACCCTGGTAGGATGTAGTGCATGGTGTCCTCTTAGAAGTCAAAGTTAAATTACACCCCTTCCTGTTCATCTTGTTGGACAGAGAGTGAGGTGAGGTGAAATTGGGCGTAACGTCGTGCTTGAGAATATTTCGCTCATATGACGACGTGCATGCGTGTGTATGTGTATGTGCGGCTGCTTGTTCTAGCCCAGACTATACAAAACTGGTTTTATAGTGCTAGACCACTGAGATACCATACCGCAGTGAATCATGAATACCCCACTCAGACACATTATACTGACTCCGAGCCGACCAGTTCTTGTTGTACCCATTAATGCCGAGCGCCAGGCAGGGACCAACAAGTACCATATTTTAACGTCTTTTGGTATGACGCGGTCGGGGATCGTACCCGCGACCTTCCGCTCTCCGGGCGGAGGCTCTAACCACTACACCACGGAGGCGGTCTATTTGTTAATAATGGGGAAGTCAAACCACATTCAAGTTGTTCTGGGTCGAAACTTTTATCATTATGCGATATTAAACCCAGCTATCTGACTGGCGAGTTGTCGTCATGTACGGAACAAATATGACGCCATGTGTTTTGTGTGACATCATTTGTTTGTACGTCATAATTGTCCATGTTCACATTTTGGAATTAAACAGAACTGATTTGTCCTCCAAACATTTTCCGAAACATAGATCACTGTAACATGTTCTCACGTATGAGAAAATCAATAGACCTACCAATCGTTGATTATCTATTTTATATTATCTAAAATGATAAATAAAAGGGCGATATATTAGGCTAGACTATCAATAATGATTGTCGCAAGCTGTCGCTTGTTCAGTCATGACAGACACGTACTTCCTTCATTTTTTTCTTTCCTCCCCGTATGGAACTTGGAAATCTAGTCTGTCTCACAGTCCCTGAACCACATTATTTTTCCCTACTGCCAAGCCCTCTCTGCAGTGCTAAAGCCCTAAATAAAGCAAGTCTAGATTTCCTCAGGTTCTGAATCTCTGGTCTCCTTTTCAATTTAAATGGGCTTGTTTGTTACTTTAAAAATTATATATATTTAGAGACTAAGCATTAGTCTATTGGAAATCGTACACTCCTTTTATTGACGCGTCAGTATGCCGTAGGCGCATATCTGAAGGACGTAGCACTGTTGCTTGACAACGGTATAAGAAGCTATATAAAGTATTATACTTCTTCTGTAACTGTAGGAGACTGGACCAGGCCATTCAGTGATTACTATACAAGCAAGCAACGAAGGATGTGATGTAGTGTAACGATGCAGTGTAGCGATAAAGTCACCGAGCCTGACCACTTACCTCCACTTCTACAACCAGCATAGGTTACAGGGAACATGGTCTGACTCCATATCCCACCTGATCATGACAGGTTGACGAACATATGTTACAACACGTGCGAGTGTTGGCCATCAGTATAGCTGGGTGTTTCTATCCCGTATTCTATGCAGTCAAGGAGTAAAGTGAAACTCTCATAAATACAGATCATACAATAAACGGTCTCTGCTCCTACTTACTGTAAACTCGCTGCTCGATCTGAAACCCAAACAGTTTAATACTTCATGAGTTATCTCCCTTCCACAAGACGCGTACACACATTCTTGTAACAAAAGTATATATTTTATTGTCAATTTTACAATTCATCAAGTAAACAAGGGATAAAAGATGCGATAATCGTACCTAAGTACTTATATCTGTAGGTATCAAAACATTCTTGACAAGGAATCTTCATCTCATAATAATATATTGGGTAAAACTTAATGTCTCATAGGAGTGAGTGAGTGAGTTTAGTTTTACACCGCACTCAGCACTATTCCAGCTATATGGCGGCTGTCTGTGAATAATCGAGTCTGGACCAGACAATCCAGTGATCAACAGCATGAGCATCGATCTGCGCAGTTGGGAACCGATGACATGTGTCAACCCAGTCAGCGAGCCTGACCACCCGATCCAGTTAGTCGCCTCTTACGACAAGCATGGGTTACGGAAGGTTCATTCTAACCCGGACCTTCACGGGTGTCTCGTAAGAGATGGAATACTAATACATACCAAACAAGACAAAAGCTTTCATTAGGAGCGCAGGTGAATTTCAACCTGACTTTGTATTTAACAAAAAATATAATTTGGAATGTTTAGATTGACATCATCTATAAAACTGACTATTTTCAAATATTTATAAAACAACAAAGTATGATGAGGTCCCTACTTAGACGTCTCTATACACAGTTTGTACATAGAACAATTGCTGGGGAAAATGGACGGAGTCTTAAGGCAAGGTGTGCTTCTGCAGGAGGAGGGGGAAGGGATGGGGACTGGGAGGTTGTACATGTGTTCAGGATATGTAGGGAGGGTTCAGGAGGTTGGGGGTTGATAATCTGAGGATCTGCAGATCGAGGATTGATCATGTGAGGATGTGTGGATCTGCAAGCATGGTTTTGGAGTTTGAGGTTGTTTGTGTCAGGAACTGCATCTGGGGTTCTGAAGGGAACGTTGTTCATGTTGTTTGATCATGTCAGGATCTACCAGGAAGGGTTCTTGAGGTAGGCCTTTTGATCATGTCAGGATCTACAGGCGGATTCCGGAGGCAGGGGGTTTGATTGTGTCAGGATCTGCAGACAGTGTTCTGGAGGAAGGGAGTTTGTTCATGTCAGGATCAAACAAGTGGGGTCCAGGAGGCATGGGGTTTGATCATGTCAGGGTTCTGGAGGCATGGGGGCTGGTCTTGTTAGGATCTGAAGTCAGGTCTCTCCAGGCGGAGTTCTGAAGGTGCGGGGGTTGTTCATGTCAGGATCTGCAGACGGAGTTCTGAAGGTGCGGGGGTTGTTCATGTGAGGATCTGCAGGCGGGGTTCTGGAGGTGCAGGGTTGTTCATGTGAGGATCTGCAGGTCGGGTTCTGGAGGCGGCTGGTTGTTCATATGAAGATCTGAAGGCGGGGTTCTGGAGGTGCGGGGTTGTTCATATGAGGATCTGCAGGCGGGGTTCTGGAGGCTGTGCAGGTTGTTCATTGAGGATCTGCAGGTTCTGGAGGCAGCGGGGTTGTTCATGTCAGGATCTCTGGAGGCAGCGGCAGGTTGTTCATGTGAGGATCTGCAGGTGGGGTTCTGGAGGCGGAGGGCGGTTCATGTGAGGATCTGCTGGTGGGGTTTTGGAGTTGGGGGATCGTTCATGTGAGGATCTGCAGGCGGGGTTCTGGAGGAGGAGGGCTGTTCATGTGTGTCTCCAGGCTGGAATACTCTGTGATGATCGAGTTGAGTGACTCTAAGCTCTCCCCGAAGTCTGCTAGCTCCATCCCATCAATTTGTGTGTAGTGATGGATGTGGGCCTACACAGGGAAAGAAAACATTGATGTATAATACATACATGTGCATTATTTTCTCCTTTCAGTTTCACTGGTGTAACAGTCGAAAGGAATCACCATAATTATGATGTGAAGACTTGGTGCTGTATACCGAGCTCGTAGTTAGTGATTACTGGCTTCTAGAAACTGATTACTTGGCCAGCTACCAAGTGCTGATTACCTGGCTAAAAGGTGCTGATTATTTGGCTAATGGAAATTAATAGATTGCTAATAGATTGATTACCTTGCTAATAGGGATACTTTCCAGGCTACTAAGTTATGTCTACCTAAAGATGATAATCTGGGTGCTAGGTGGATATTATTTTGCTAATATGGGTGATTACCTGGCTATTAGGTCCTAATTACTGGGCTACTAGGTGGTGATTATTAACCTACCAGATAGTGATCACCAGGCTACTAGGTGGTGATCACCAGGCTACTAGGTTATGATTATGAACCTACTAGATAGTGATTACAAGGCTACTAGATAGTGATTACAAGGCTACTAGATAGTGATGACCAGGCTACTAAATGGTGATTCCCAGGCTACTATGGGATAGGTGATGTTATTAACCTAGATAGTGATTACCAGGCTACTATTCCCAGGCTAATGGTGATTCCCAGGCTACTAAATGGTGATTATGAACCTACTAGATAGTGATTATGGTGATTCCCAGGCTACTAGGTGATGGTTATTAACCTACTAGATACAGGCTACTAGATAGTGATTACCAGGCTACTAGATTACCAGACTACAGATGGTGATTACCAGGCTACCAGGATGGTGATTCCCAGGCTACTAAATGGTGATTATTGACCTACTAGATAGTGATTACCAGGCTATTTAGAGATAGTGATTAGGCTACTAAAGTGATTATTAACCTACCAGATAGTGATTACCAGGAACCTACTAGGTGGTGATTATTTACCTACTAGATAGTGATTACCAGGCTACTAGATGGTGATTCCCAGGCTACTAAATGGTGATTATTAACCTACTAGATAGTGATTACCAGGCTACTAGATAGTGATTACCAGGCTACTAGATGGTGATTCCCAGGCTACTAGATGGTGATTACGAGGCTACTAGGGGGTGAGTACTAACCTACTAGATGGTGATTACCAGGCTACTAGATAGTGATTACCAGGCTACTAGGCTATGATTATGAATCTACTAGATAGTGATTACAAGGCTACTAGATAGTGATTACAAGGCTACTAGATAGTGATGACCAGGCTACTAAATGGTGATTCCCAGGCTACTAAATGGTGATTCCCAGGCTACTAAATGGTGATTATGAACCTACTAATGGTGATTGGTGAACCTAGATTACCAGGCTACTAGGTGCTACTAGATACCAGGCTACTATGAGGCTGATGAGTAACCTACTAGATACTACCAGGTAGATAGTGATTACCAGGCTACTACTAGATAGTGATTACCAGGCTACTATGGTGATTACCAACCTATAGTGATTCCCAGGCTACTAGATGGTGATTACCAGGCTACTAGATGGTGATTACCCCAGGCTACTAGGGTGGTGATTAACCAGGCTACTAAATGGTGATTCCCAGGCTACTAATGGTGATTATTAACCTACTAGATAGTGATTACCAGGCTACTATGAGTGATTACCAGGCTACTAGATGGTGATTCCCAGGCTACTAAATGGTGATTATTAACCTACTAGATAGTGATTACCAGGCTACTAGATAGTGATTACCAGGCTACTAGATGGTGATTGGTGATTACCGTAGATGGTGATACTAGGCTACTAGGTGGTGATTACCAGGCTACTAGGTGATTATTAACCTACTAGATGGTGATTACCAGGCTACTAGATGGTGATTACCAGGCTACTAGATGGTGATTATTAACCTACCAGATAGTGATTACCAGGCTACTAGATGGTGATTATTAACCTACTAGATAGTGATTACCAGGCTACTAGATGGTGATTCCCAGGCTACTAAATGGTGATTACCAGGCTACTAGATAGTGATTACCAGGCTACTAGATGGTGATTACCAGGCTACTAGATGGTGATTATTAACCTACTAGATAGTGATTACCAGGCTACTAGGTGGTGATTACCAGGCTACTAGATGGTGATTATTAACCTACCAGATAGTGATTACCAGGCTACTAGATGAGTGATTACCACTAGATGGTGATTCCCAGGCTACTAGATGGTGATTATTTAAGGCTACTAGATAGTGATTACCAGGCTACTAGGCTGGTGATTATTAACCTACTAGATGGTGATTACCAGGCTACTAGATATGGTGATTACCAGGCTACTAGTACTAACCCTACTAATGGTGGTGATTCCCAGAGCTACTAGATAGTGATTACCAGGCTACTAGATGGTGATTAACAGGCTAAATGGTGATTATTAACCTACTAGATAGTGTGGGATACTAGATAGTGATAACCTAGGTGGTGAAAGCTAATCTACTAATGGTGATTACCAGACTACCAGATGGTGATTACCAGGCTACCAGGCTGACCAGGATGGTGATTAACCATTAGTGATTAACCTACAGGCTACTAGATGGTGATTCACCAGGCTACCAGGCTACTAAATGGTGATTACCAGGCTACTAGATGGTGATTAGGATGGTGATTATTAACCTACTAGATAGTGATTAGGATGGTGATTACCAGGCTACTAAGATTGGATGGTGATTATTAACCTACTAGATGGTGATTCCCAGGCTACTAAATGGTGATTACCAGGCTACTAGATGGTGATTCCCAGGCTACTAAATGGTGATTATTAACCTACTAGATAGTGATTACCAGGCTACTAGATAGTGATTAACCTACCAGGCTACTAGATAGTGATTACCAGGCTACTAGATGGTGATTACCAGGCTACTAGATGTGATTGATTATTAACCCTAAGGCTACTAGATGGTGATTATTCACCTACCAGGCTACTTAGATGGTGATTATGAACCTGGTGATTCCCAGATGGTGATTACCAGGCTACTAGATAGTGATACTGATGGTACTACACTGGATACTAGATGGTGATTCCCAGGCTACTAAATGGTGATTATTAACCTACTAGATAGTGATTACCAGGCTTCTACATAGTGATTACCAGGATACTAGATGGTGATTACCAGACTATTCGATGGTGATTCTTAACCTACTAGATAGTGATTACTGAGCTACTAGATAGTGATTCCTGAGTGCTAAGTTGTTGACTGTGACATTAACTTACTTTCCTCTTGTACAGTTTGACAAATCTGTCTTTAAGCTCGGAGAATGTGTGTCTGACACAGGTGTTATTGGCCAGGGTGAGCAGGGAGTAAGGTTGTCCTACTGGTGGCACGGAGCACAGACCAGTCTTCCAGCCCTCCTGGTTCCAGTGGATGAACTTGAGGTTGGGCTTCAGCCTGTCACATGTACACATGGAGGTGAGTCAGTGTAACCTTTGTATTTTTTATATACCTTGGTTAACAAAAAAGTATTTAAGCACCTTCATACAAATAACGTAAATTGATTAAAGTATGTACTAAACTGACTAGGACAGTTACAACAGCAGCTCAAAATGTAAACATATTTTCAAGATTTGGTGGAACAGGTGGAAAGCTTATCTGGTTGATGCCAGTAATCATATGCTTGTCTCAAAGATTAAGCCATGCATGTCTAAGTACCAACTCTAGCACAGTGAAACTGCGAATGGCACATTAGATCAGTTATGGTTCCTTAGACGATACAATCCTACATGGATAACTGTGGCAATTCTAGAGCTAATACATGCACAAAAGCTCCGACCTGGAGCCTGTCAGAGAAATCAGGGCAATGGAGGCAATTGTATGTTCTAGGACATGAAGCTGACTTGCACCCAGTGCAACCTTACGCAATATCCTTGTTCCACCTTGTGGCAGGTTACACTTGCGACTAAATATAAAATCGTATAACATACTTTAGTTTTGGTATTGATGACGTAGAACATCATTATAAGAAAATGATTCTGGGTCTGATAAAATTATTTTATCCTCATAACATATACGGCATGAACGGTAACAGTCTGTGTAGTCATCAGAGCCACTGCTCCAAGCCAGCTTGTCATCATTCTCTTTCAGGTTTCCATGAGTGCAACTTCTAATGCTTATATGGTGCCAGAAGTCACAAGTATCTGGGCCACAGTCATAAAACCACAAGTACCTGTCGATGTTCCTCCTGATGTCCGAGATCTCGGCATTGCCCCGAAGCATCAGGGCACAGGCCAGGTACAGACTGTGCTTGGGATCTGCCCTCAGCAACTGGTGATCGCGGGAGAAGGCGTCAGAAAACATCTGGTCCAACCTATTGGGAGGTCCACATGAGTGAGTGGTTTTTGTTTGTCTGGATTATCTTCAAGGATGAGCTCAGATGTTATTTAAAAATTAGTTGACTCCAGATAATCTGAACAGCTAAGCAGAACTCTTTGTATTTCACTTTCTTTGGTTTGAGGCCGATGTTCATAAAACAGCTTTACCTGATTGCTGATTGTGTCATGGTGGCTAAACTGGTGTGACTTATTTGTGACGACATACCATTTCAAACAATATTCCAGTTTAAGCCCTGTCTACTACATGAGGGAGGAAACCGTAGATGCAGCTTCTTACTACTTTGATGAAATCCCACACGCTAGCATGGCTGACAGACTTATTGAAACTGAGCAAATCTGGGATTTCAAAGACTGACAAAGACTGTGTCTTAACATCTTAGCTTGCAAAATTTGATACAAGTCTTTTCAGCTAAATGCTGCATATTACATGTCTTCAGACATCCTAAACACCCATGTGACCATGGTAACACATGACGTGTGCTCCGTGAAGCAGCCTTACCTCCTGGGTGGCAGGTTAACGTCGGACATGGCGTACAGCGGTGACTGGCTGGATACTAAGTAATGTAGTTTGGGGAACGGAACCAGATTCATGGTTATCTCATTTAAATCCACATTCAGAGAGCCCTCAAACCGTGCTGAGCTAAAACCAGACATGAAGACTTAACAAGACATAGTCACATAAAGGAAGACAGACAACAGCTTAATAGTGTAAAAAGATATTGATTCTTATCTTCAGTAATCAGTAATAGATTTGTCAAATATTATTTCATCATGTCCATAGTTCCTGGCAGATATGAATATGTTTGCCACTACTTGAAAACAAGGATAAGTTGGACCGGTGTAGAGAACGCGTTTACGAGAAGTAGGCGGTGCATGGCAATGAGCAAACCCATTTGTTTTGTGAAAGGTAGAGCAGATGTATGCTAGTGCACGTGCAGTGCATGATGATGACATTGATTCCACGTGTAGCTGCACACGCCTTGCTCATAAAACTCTCACGTGGTCGGTGTAGCACTACACTTGATCGCAGACAACTTGGGGCCCCTTCGCTCACAATGGCAAACGCCAGTGGGCGGCACTCATACATGCTAATACGGGTCAATTGCCACCAGATAAAACAACATTTTATAAAAGACCCCCCAGTACTTAACACGTGTAAACATTTCATACCTCTTTATCATTACAAGCAGAGAACTTATATTTATCAGTAATCCAAACCTCAAAGACATTAGTAATAAAACTGTGTACAATTTCCAGTTCTTTTATGCACATTAACAACACAACATTCTCCTGCCATCCAACCCCACCTTGTCATATTGAGGAGAAGGTTTGCAACCAGATTGTTCATGCTGTCAAATGGCTTCTCCTCTGCAGGGGAGGTAACTCCTCCCTGACTACTTGTGATGGCGCTGCCTGACTTGACTCCAGTGGTAGAGTAGGTTCTCTTCCCTGTCTTCAGGGACGGCACAGCTTGTGAGATCTTGTTGACAATCTCAACCAGTGCCTGTAACAACATGTGATGCTCTGTGAGGTGCAAAATATGCTGACTATCCACAAACCATACTACCGGAGAGGCAGCTGATTGGTAGGCTTGCTTGTTACATAGAATGCCTGGGTTTAATTAGGAGAAAAAACATACTGTGTTGGAAAATCAGAGGTATCTAACGTGATTATATACCTCTGAATGACAATCACAATCCAGTATTTACTGATGTCATGGTAGAATTCTCCATATCGGTACCATAAGTGAACCCATTGTTGGTAGAAACTACCCTTTTAGACGATACATTGCCAAAAGTGACAATCACTCACTTAGAAAAAAGATACATAGCGTTCACTAACATTCATGTTAGTGAAAACTATGTATCTTAGCCTTCACTCACTGCACTGTAGGAAATGTGAACTTCCATTGAGTATCTGATGTGAACATATTTCACTGACAAAAATAGTTTTTGTTTTCTTATTTAAAAAAAAAGCAGTCCAGTCGCTCTTTTCCTTATCAGATAAATCTGCAGTAAAACTAACCTTGCCAATTCCATGTATTTTATAATAGACTTGGGGGTATTGCCCTCCATTATGCCCTCGGCCACTATCAGTTTGTTGTCAAGTGGCGTCATAGTTCGACATTAATTGGCTCGACTGGCGGATATTCAGTCAAACAATGTCAAAGCAACCCAAATTCCCGGGCTTCTGCTAACCTTAACAATTTGAACACTGTCATAGTTTTTTATAGTTCTGTCATTTCTGTCTGACAGACTAACAGATTGGGGATGGACATTTTTTGGTGATATCCACTAAAAACAATAACCCTACAATTTACTTAAATGTTGTTACCTGATTCTCAACAGGCAGCACGCAGTCCGCATGTTCAGTGAGCTCTCGCATGGCCAGAACGCTGTTGTAAGGGGAGGTAATCACGTCATCCTCAACTGATGGGTACACTGCTGTCACAAATCTAGAAACAAAACTCACAAAATGTCTTTGTCCATGTGATCACGAGCTAGCTACATGCAATCTGATGTTCTGTATTAAAACCATTTATATTTTCTATGATAAATACAATCAATTTGTATCAAAGTACTCCTGAAAAAAGAATTGGGTCACTGTCATTTCTATTTCACTTGGGGCATAACCCTGGAAAATTCATATTTTCCAACAGACATATCTAAGGAAAGAATCACCTTGAAAACTGTTCTGCATAAATATATCATTGTCATAAAATATTATTTTGATTAATCAGTTCAAATATGTTAAACACATTTGGACAGAAAGTTCATCTAAAAGTTACAATACAGTTCAACATGAAGTGCACATGATGTGATAGACGTGAAATACTATTCAGAACATCTAAACACAGCCTGAATGTGTTTAGGACGTGACACATGTTCACAGCTAAAGGGGGATGAACACACAATGCCATTTTAGAAAGTGATCAAATGTAACATATGTTATATTTGGGATTACACTTTCTTGGTAAAGTACAAAGGGGGATGGTTATTAAGAAGGGTGCCTATTTTGTTGACTATGATGGTAAGGACGGTGCAGGTGGGCTAGCTGCTGTTTCACATGGTGATCAGAGCAGTCCACTCACCTGTAAACATCAGGATATTCCTCTTCCAGCAAATTCAAGATGGATGTGCCAACACCTGAACCTGTCCCTGAAATGACAAAAATATACAAATTTTTCGCTATTTACCAAGAAATCATCACAAAAGACATTTAATCAAGAAAACTATGTGCTTTTTATTTCATGATATTAAAATATGATTCTTGTGAGTGTGTGTGTGTGTGCATGCGTGCAAACATGTGTGGGCACACTCTGCATGTTTTTCCCTTTTCTAAATTAAGAATTGTTGTGTGCGTGTGAGCCTATGCTGATGTGCTTACACAGAGCCTTCATCCACCAGGCTTTTATATTTTTCATTTTTTTCACATTTCAAGAGATTCTTTTGAGAATAATCCAGATCTTTCCCAAATGCTTTGATCAAGCAATTTATTCAATGGCAACCCAAAGGATCTGTTTATTTTTACTATGAACACAAGACATATGATGTTAGTGTTTTCCCACAAAGGATTAATCTCTTCACGACTACCATCAGGTAGTTCTTTTTGGCCATATTTCTGAAAAAACTAAACGTTGAAAAATCACAATGCTCCCTAAAATTGAGTAAAATGCACATTTGGATATATTAAATTATAGTATGAGAAACTATACTGACAAAAAGTAAAATCAACATCACTTTATTGAGTTTATCCATCTAATCATCACTATCCTCATTGAGATAAACAGGTACATTGTCAGGATCATCTGACTATCTAAATGACAGCCATTACATAGTTATGACAGTTCAAGTAAATATGTCAGGAGTCTGGATAACATATCTATTAATTTTATCTTGAACAGAGGCCATTTCTGATATAATATAAGATCTATGGTCTCTGTTGTCTGTGTTGTATGGATATGTTACAACCCATTCAGATTTTGATACCTATACCTTGTATACTTATTTATATTCTGAACAGTTTAGGTACGTTGGGATTTAATATTTGGAACATGTGTACGAACGCACGTTCGGTGTTGTATTGGAAGCAGCTGATCACACAACTCAGCATCACGCGAGAGTGGGAGGGTCGACTTGATCTATTTTTAGAAAGGCACGTGTCCAATGACGCCATTGGTAATATAATCTATATTTAGACGGCTCTTCCATAAATACAGTTGTAACGTTTACAGTCACAATAGTACACATTACGACAAATTGTGTAAGGATACCACAACGGAACTGCTATGTATTTGTGTTGAGAGAAGACAGATGCCTATAACATTGACTGACAGTATTTGAAACTAAGAGTAACAGAAAACCCGGATCGAAATAACGCAATGACAAAGGGGGTCGGTTCATTTGACGGAAGACCGGGAAATACCCAAACATCAGGCGCGAAGCAAGATGTCTTCCATGGGATCAATGTTTCTGCGTTCAAAAATTGAAGCAGATCACTTGACATGTTCGATATGTTTCAACAATTTCACCCGACCGAAAGCATTACCATGTATCCATACTTTCTGCGAAGACTGCCTGCGTGATTATGTGGTAAGTCGAGGCTATGAATCGATCGGACGTTTTCCCTGCCCGATGTGTCGAAAGGACGTCCAGATGCCTGCAGGGGGAGTCCAATGTTTTCCGGACAATCACTTGGTTACCAGCCTGTCTGATACCGTAGTGACTTCAAAACAACGCCCTCCTTTGCCTCCTGGACCTTATGTTGACAATGCCAACAACAACTTTCCGACGACGACAACAGCCGGGGTGGATCCAGCGCCCCGGATGCCCGAATACCCACCCACACAGTCCAACATGTATCCCCAGTTGCCGAGACTGGAAGATATGCCGAAACCAGAAATGCCTCGACCCAAGCCTGTTGCCTGTAGTAGTGGACTTATACAGAGATTTGGGAAATATGGACCCGGCCTGGTTGATTTTCACAAACCAGTTGGACTAGCAATAGGAAGGAATGGTGAGATTGTTGTGTCAGATCATGGAGGGTATAGGATTCTTATTTTTAACAGTGGAGGAGAACTTGTGAAGAAGTTTGGCTGTGAGTGTATCATAAATGATGTGGCAGTCACGAAAGAAAACACCATCCTCGTCAGTGTCAAGTCAAAGTCTTCCATCATGAGAAAGTACACAATGGATGGACGTTTTCTCGGTGAATATGGCGCCCACTACCGCTATGAGGACGCTCATGGAATTGCGGCAATGTCAACAGGTCATGTTGTAGTGTCTGGTCTCCAGAACAAGTGTGTTTATATCTTCACAGAGCAGTACAAGTTTTCTGACAAGTTTGGCCGCAAGGGGTCAGGGGACGAACATTTCCTCACCCCCTACTACGTAGGGACCAACTGCAAGAACAACATCGTGGTGACAGACAGCGAGAACCATTGTGTCCAAGTCTACAGCAACACTGGAAAGTTTAAGTACAGGTTCGGTGGCAAGGGGAGTGACCATGGCCAGCTTCAGAACCCTCTTGGTGTGTGTAGCGATTGCGAAAACAATATCATTGTAGCTGACAGTGGCAATCATCGTGTTGAAATGTTCACATCCAAAGGGAAACACATTGAATGTGTTGTGAGGAATACGCAGGATATTGGCCCTGGTGTCACACCTACCCTTGTTGGGGTGACTTCAAGAAACAACATTGTGGTTCTCTTGCGAGGTGTCCAGTTTGTTGAGGTCAGGATCTACATGTGCACAAGCTCCTCCATGTCCCAGACAAGTTCCTGTATCAACTAACTGCAGGGTTTCACCGATCCAAGAAAACGTCAATCAGGAAGAGTAATATAGAGTTCTGGTGGTCTATTTGGCAAGTGGAAAATCACCATCTCTGTTGTTTTCTTTACCTTTAATAGAATGAAGGTCAGACACTGGAGAAATATTTGTGATATGAAACTGTTAAAAGATAGTGATATTGTGTAAAAGTTGTACAAATTCTGTTGGAAACTTTTGATAGGTAATGGTCCTGTTGGCACCCTGGAAATGTCGAACTGTGAACTATGGACTTCTTTCATGTACTGGTGTGCAATACTACTAGTAGATGAAACATGTTCCTTCTCCGTCCCATTATCCCTGTATATACCAGTGCGCCATTGAATAGACTCCCATGCGCTACGTATCTCATTGGTTATCTTATATAGCATGTTTACAGTTCTTAAATGCTCATTGGTGAAGAAGGAGCAACTGGAGCATCTGTGAGGCAAAATGACAAAGCTTGGTTTCAGAAGCATCTGTTATACAATTGTATGGCTATCTTCAAGAATGCAATTTGTGTAAGTATGGGATAGTTCACCTGTATCCCATGCAATCTATCTGCCTATATTCCTTGTTTTCTATCATGATACTAGTCATTTTGTATCTGCACATGAATATTTGCCTAGTAATCTGATAATGTGGTAATTTTGCTTAATTATCCACACAATGTGGGCTGCATGTAAGGGACTCACAGTTTACATAGATCAATGCAAATGTGGTGTTAACGTGAAAGGTGGCATTACTCTTTGATCAAGGAAACATTATCATGATCACACTAATAATACAGAAAGTTCATTGTTTCAACATTTGTGGTGTCCCCCAGCCGTGGTGTTGCTGGAATATTGCTAAAAGCGGCGTAAAACCAAACTCAGTCAGTCATTGTTTCAACTGAAAAGTAATATGGTTATTTTTTATACAAGTTTGTATGCAAGACAAACTAATTGCTTGCTTTGTTGTACACTTCCATTTCTAGCCACTTCAGCATTTGTTACTGTGGTGAGAAGGTTTCAGGGCTATATCAGCATGCATACCACATATCATTGTACCGACTCCTTTTGTATATCCTCTGCTCTATGGTAATATGAAGATTTCTATTTTCTGATATTTATTTGATGACTGTGTTTATTGTCATCGTACAGTGTTGTGAGTTTAATATCTGTAATAGCTAGGACTGTCCTTGACCTGCAGACATATTATACTAGAGAGCATGGTCACGATGACCATTGGTCAGATGGGGTGAACGTCGTGCCTCTATGTACAGCATCCACACTCAGACCAATGTACAGACATGTAGTGAGTCAAGCCATCCATGGCTAGTGACATGTCCAACAAGTTAGTGAGGCTAGAGGAGTCTAGACAAGTAGTGTGCCTTTGTACATAACCCAGCATGCAGATGTAGACAGTAGTTATGGTTACAGGTGACAACACCACTGCAATAAATATAACCTGCAATAATTTGAAACCTTTCTTAGGACCAGTTTCTCAAAACACCTCATCATCACTTCTGTGTCCTTGTATCTCTGCCAGCTACTCCTCACAGAAATTATCAGCTTTACCTCATTCACTATTTTGAGATTGAACTGCGTAATAGAAATTATTTCCAGTTTTGAAAGGCAATTATTTGAGATTCACAACATTATCATGATTATATTGATAATTATGAGAGTACCAAGAATGGGGCTGGCTGTTTAAGCTGAGTTTGTATGTTCATATAACCATTCCATCACTCTGCAGTGCCTTACCAAATGTAACTATAGCTATATCTATATGTACAGTAACTGATGTATAGTAGTATGAAGTTCAATGTTTAGTTCTTAACCAATGTTAATTGCACTATTACCAGAACACAGCTTTTGCTAATGATTATGATTTATTATTAACATATCAATTCATCAGAATGTTCTCCAGATACAACCTGCATATGCAGGGATGAGAATGAAGTTTTGAGAAAAACTCTGAAAACTAGCCGGGGGTTTAACATCTATTGGATTTAGACGATTCACAAAATGACTCGAGGCCTAATTCCAGGAATTCTGCAGATCCGCGGAAAATTCTCATCCCTGCATATGGTCTAAATGAAATCTGATGCGTTTTTGACATGACTATTCCTAATTCTTCGTATTGACAGTTTTCAGAGGTACTCACTGTCTGTTTTGGAAAGAAAAGCAGATATGAAAATAATGTTGTTACAGTCGTTGTAGAGTTGCAAAGTTGCAGAGATGTTTAGAAAAAACAACTCTTTTGCTTCTGAACACTGGTGGTGAGCATTAGTAGCCATGATACTACTACTACTGAAGTACTACATGCTGATAAAGCAAGGTGCTTACCCCTGTAGGCACTGTTAAACCCCAGTGCTTACCTCCATAGGCTCTTTTGAACTCCTGAGTCAAAGGTCAGATGGTAAACAGGATAATACTTGTAATTCTGGTAACCAAGGAAACCAGTGATTCCACTTGCCATCCTGTTCTTTCCCATCTGTAGTATATATCTTTTTATCTCTGCAGCTCTTCAGTGAATCATGGAAAGTATTATTTTTGTTGACCATGTTCTTCCTTATGTTCATCTACTCCAGTATTACAAATTACACTATGGCAATGAGCAATAAAGTCATATTCATTTCCAGTACACATGCCCTGTTTAGATCATCTGTATCACAGTTAGATATAGACAGAAGATAATCCAGACTAACCGGTTTTTGATGTCCCATGGAAAGTGGGAAATATGGTTTGTTTGTGAGTGCAATTTGTTTACAAATATTTTATTGGTTGTACTGAGTTGAGTTGTTTGATGAGCTTATCAAGGGACCAGCAGGTCTTGCAAGAGATCTAGTCAGTATGATCTGTCTATTCATAGTCATACTGCCAACTTTACCTGAGCAAGTGTCACCATGAACATCTGGTTGTTTAAAGACTCCATCTTGTGTACCAAAATTGATGTACAAGACATGAGCTAGAAGAGGTGAAAAGCTGTTCTATAGATTTAGGATTTGCACATTGAGGAACACATGCCATGCAAAATACAGAAAAAAACACTGTGTCAAACCATGGCATCTTGATTTTGTTTTCAGTGAAATACAATCCATGTTTAGTTGTGTAAATATCTGTATTGACATTATTAGCATGATAAGCAGAATATTGTTATTTTAAATTAACAGTTACTTTTCTTGTGATGGTGTGTTTTGTATATTATATTTGATTAACTGATTTATCATTTATCAATTTATGAAGTTGCTTTGTGTATAATCTGTGTTATCTGGTTATGTATATGTTCACGATGCATAACTGGTGCCTCATTCCATATCTGTCTGTATCTTTAGTGCTGTATGTTTGTGTATTGTATCCCTCATCTGTGTTGTCACAGCCTGTAGTTGTCCACACCTCCACTTGGTAGTCAGAAGTTGTAAATATACAATACAAACTACTTATCTGGTATTTACAGGAGAGAACTTTGATCTGTCTCACAAACTGTCACTATCTTGAGCAATATTATACATGTTACCGGTACGTGTATGCAGGCATGAATTTTAGGTCATTTAGACCAGTAACCATGGCAATATGTAAAGCTTGATCAGTAGTTTTAAATAAATTTCCATCTTTGTAACCTATGACTATTAGATATGTATACGCTATACAGCACAAGTTTAAATGCAAAATTATTTTCATTGCGTGGCAAAATTCTATTTCTTCATTAAAAGTGTTACTTCCCAGCACAGTTTAACTTACTCATATACCATAGCCACATTATGAGATTAGCAGACCAATGTCTACGTTATTCCCTACACGTTACAAGAGTCGTTACAGACTGTTGTGAATACATGGTACTGGTTTTGGATTTGTAAGAGTACTATATAATGTTATAATATCACTGTTAAACAGATTGTCACCTGTTCCTCTAAAGTCATTTTGTTAATTTAGGGATGTTCCATATCCTGGCATCCGCTTTCATTAAAGCCAAATAATGTTTGGTTGATGTATGTCATGAAATTGAGGGACAGTTGAGGTAAAACTAACTTGTTGTTTTGTTTTTAATGGTGTTATTACTGTAATTACAAATTTGTTGTTTGAACTTTTAAGATTTCTGGTGATATGAATTTTGATATTGAATAAAAATGATTTTTGTGCTATCACATTGTCTTGTCTTTTTGAAATGGCAGTAAAGCACTGCCATGACTGGAGAGGACCAACCCGCAACAACATTCTCACACTTATTCTCAACATAATTGCTATTATTGTTTTGGAACACATATACATAAAGACAACACATGCAGCAAGACTTGGCTCTTCCTACATGCCATAATACTTGAAAATACACTTCAAGAGATGATGAAATGGTTACAGACAGTTTACAGTGAGTCAACAAGTTGTGTCAGTTGTCTTTTCTGTAACTGGTCTTTATCTATCTGCTGTGTGGAGTGATCCCTTGTCTGCACTACAATTGATGATATTGTGCCATGGATAGATACCTAGGAATCAAACCCAGTCTACCCAGTCAACCCTACAGCATGTGCTACTCACCACCTCCCATTGAGTGCATGACAAAAAAACACTGAAGACAGTCACAGTATTCAGCAGCCCGACGGATTGTGTCACTTAACTGTTCTCGATACTGCACTCCATACATTTTGTGGCCAACTGCCCTGAAACACATTCAGATTGAAGTAAACTTTTACATCTTTCATTTGATGTTTTACCAGTATATGAGAACAAAATAGGACTGCACAAATTTGTTATTTTTTTGTCAAACATCCAAAGAAAATTTAAGTTAATATTCTGAAACCTGTACCAAGAATATGAAAATGCTTTTGAAAAAGTATTCTGAATTTGCTTAAATTTGCTATTTTTATACTAAGTTTGTTGATGAAAAAAGTAGCAGAGGATTTCTCATCTAGTATTAACTGAGAGTAAGAACCTTTCTTTTACCCAATAATGTTGTATAAAATATGTGCATGTCAAACTGTCTGAGATATAGGCTGTTTTTGTCTTGGGTGTTCAAGTCTTAAAACTGATATGTCTCATGGGCTAACCAATGCATCTTCCAAAACTTAGTCAATAATGAGAATATTTGTACGAGGCATTTGGATAATGACCTGATATTAACTTACCAAAGAAAATCTGCATTAATTATAAATTTGCAAATCAACAATGCATCATCTATTGTTGACGTATGCTCAATCAGAGGTACAGATAAGCTGCGTATCTGCGTAATTTACGCAAATATTTATGTGAAAACTCAATTCCTATTAAGTCTATTAGCGCATTACAAATGCAGCTTGATTTTTGTAAATACTCAATCGTTTTATCTTGCGTACACACAAAAATGTCAAATCATAACTTGTGTACCGGTGAATAGATCAAATAACTGAGGCATATTCAGAGGTTCTTTATCAACACATGAACTTGGCAAGTTGCAGTCTTTCTTATCGTTTCTCATATTACAGATGAAATATAAATAGCAAACACATAAACAACATTTTGTTTTTATTATATTTTTACAATTAATGGAAAATGGCAAAGTACCCAATTGAGTTTGAGTGAGGTGGGTACAATTTATTTGGTTACTCAAATGAAACTTAGGATACCCATTTGATATAAACATAAGCGAGTACATAACTCAATGACCTAAAAGGTTATCTGTAGCTCTGGCTCAATTCAGTGAAAACATAAATATAAACTGAACCACAAAAGAAACATTGCCTTTCAAAACCAAATGCAAAATTTTGTTCTTATTACGAACATCAGTGTGTTTTCTGATGAAAAAGCACATTGACCAAACGCACCCAAAAAGGCAGACATGGTAAAAGGTTCAGTATGACATTAGGTGAAAATGAAAATGCATGTTGTGACAACCCTACCATTGAAAGCGATTCCCAAACTCGCCTGAAATCATATTTGTTTTGACAAAATCGCCATGGCACGACTTACAAGAGATGAGAGGATCCAAGTCTTGGGACACTTGCAAGTTGGCCAGGCTGCGCGGAGGGTAGCCAATTATTTTTATGTTCATGTTAGGACAATCCACCCGACTGAAGGAGTGGTAACAGGTCACTAACAGCATCCAAGACTGTCCATTCAGTGGGCAACCTTCAGTAACATCACAATGTCAAGACCGACAGATGGTGCACAACTATCTGATACATTTTGTGGCCAACTGCCCTGAAACACATTCAGATTGAAGTAAACTTTTACCTTTCATTTGATGTTTTACCAGTATATGAGAACAAAATAGGACTGCACAAATTTGTTATTTTTTGTCAAACATCCAAAGAAAATTTAAGTTAATATTCTGAAACCTGTACCAAGAATATGAAAATGCTTTTGAAAAAGTATTCTGAATTTGCTTTAAATTTGCTATTTTTATACTAAGTTTGTTGATGAAAAAGTAGCAGAGGATTCTCATCTAGTATTAACTGAGAGTAAGAACCTTTCTTTTACCCAATAATGTTGTATAAAATATGTGCATGTCAAACTGTCTGAGATATAGGCTGTTTTTGTCTTGGGTGTTCAAGTCTTAAAACTGATATGTCTCATGGGCTAACCAATGCATCTTCCAAAACTTAGTCAATAATGAGAATATTTGTACGAGGCATTTGGATAATGACCTGATATTAACTTACCAAAGAAAATCTGCCTTAATTATAAATTTGCAAATCAACAATGCATCATCTATTGTTGACGTATGCTCAATCAGAGGTACAGATAAGCTGCGTATCTGCGTAATTTGCGCAAATATTTATGTGAAAACTCAATTCCTATTAAGTCTATTGCGTACAAGTACGCTTGATTTTTTGTAAATACTCAATACGTTTTATCTTACATGCGTACACACAAAAATGTCAAATCATAACTTGTGTATGAATAGATCAAATAACTGAGGCATATTCAGAGGTTCTTTATCAACACATGAACTTGGCAAGTTGCAGTCTTTCTTATCGTTTCTCATATTACAGATGAAATATAAATAGCAAACACATAAACAACATTTTGTTTTTATTATATTTTTACAATTAATGGAAAATGGCAAAGTACCCATTGAGTTTGAGTGAGGTGGGTACAATTTATTTGTTTTCTCAAATGAAACTTAGGATACCCATTTGATATAAACATAAGCGAGTACATAACTCAATGACCTAAAAGGTTATCTGTAGCTCTGGCTCAATTCAGTGAAAACATAAATATAAACTGAACCACAAAAGAAACATTGCCTTTCAAAACCAAATGCAAAATTTTGTTCTTATTACGAACATCAGTGTGTTTTCTGATGAAAAAGCACATTGACCAAACGCACCCAAAAAGGCAGACATGGTAAAAGGTTCAGTATGACATTCGTGAAAATGAAAATGCATGTTGTGACAACCCTACCATTGAAAGCGATTCCCAAACTCGCCTGAAATCATATTTGTTTTGACACAATCGCCATGGCACGACTTACAAGAGATGAGAGGATCCAAGTCTTGGGACACTTGCAAGTTGGCCAGGCTGCACGGAGGGTAGCCAATTATTTTTATGTTCATGTTAGGACAATCCACCGACTGAAGGAGTGGTAACAGGTCACTAACAGCATCCAAGACTGTCCATTCAGTGGGCAACCTTCAGTAACATCACAATGTCAAGACCGACAGATGGTGCGCAACTATCTGCAGGATTCCAGAGTGACGGAAGCAGCACGCCAGACCATTGGGACTCACAACAGACGCATCAGTTCCGATACAGTGCATTGACGTTTGCGTGGAAGAAATCTCTGCTGTTACAGACCATATTGTAGTCCTGTCCTCACCGCTCATCACTGCCAAAACCGATGGGCAATGGGCAACTCAGCATCGAAATTGGCGTTTTCCACAATGGAGAATTGTGCTTTTATCTCATGAAAGCTGATATTGTGTTTCGACAGTCGATGGCAGAGTGAGAGTATGGTGAAGGTGTGGGGAACTGTTTTCCAATGAGGGTATTGTTAAAAGAAACTCGTGGGATGGTCCGAGCATCATGGTGTGGGGTGCAATTGGTCTGAACCCGCGGTGTTCCAGATTCTCGGTATAGGATGAGGAAATGACGTGACAGCTGCTCACTATATTGACCAAATCATAAGACCCTGTGTTGTACCACATTTTGGACCTTACGGAAATCACATCTTCCAGCAAGACAATGCTCATGCCCACACTGCCAGAGCAACACTGGACTTCCTAAGACAACATGGCATCCAAACCCTACAATAGCCTGCACTCAGTCTGGATATAAGTCCAATAGAACACCTTAGGGACGAGATTCAAAGAAGACTGAATGACCTCCAACCAAGGCTGACAACTGCGGCTGGAATCGACTCAGGCCCCATGGAACCAAGTGCCTATGGCCTTTATCAACCGGCTAATTCATTCCATGTACAGACGATGTATGCCTATGGAGACCAGACAAAATACTGACTTTGGGGAATCTTAATTGCACCATTTTCGGTGATTTTGTTTGTGTGAACTCTAAATGTGATTCCCGAAAATGTATTAACCATCACTGTAAAGTTTGAACTCAATCCTCAGTTTTGATTGTTAATTAGAGTGAATTAACGTGTGTGCTTTAAGAAACTGCTATTGTTGTGACATTTCTATTGTGGTTCAGTGTATTACACTAACCACTCCAGCTGCCTGGGTAGAATTTTGAAATATTAAACAATCATATTTGTGAACACCACATGATACTTACCAGTTATTGCCACAACCTGATACATCAGTGATGAGCTGTTGGTAGTCAAACACTTCACGGAGTGGTCCATTTGTCAACTCAGTCACAACACCCTCCTCCATGTCCACAAGTACCGGCCTGTTGTAACCATGGTAACAATGTATATGTTGGTCACTATAGTCCTGATAAGCTGGAACTGGACTTTTCTACAGATTGTTGGACTGCTTAGAGATATGCTAATCATTTCTTACAAACATGAATGAAACTTAAAATATGTTTGAAACATAGATCTAAGATGTAAAAATCACCAAAAATATTCCAATTAAAGTTACATACTTTTCAGATCATAAAAAAAGTAAAATTGATTGTACATTATGAAAGAATTTGTTATATGTCCAAGGACATTTTGATATTATGATATTGACAGGGTGAAACAAATAAGTATAATTTATACCCTTGCTTTGAGGGATCTAATTTTGCCCTTGCCATCCCCAACTGGGATGTCGGATGTGTCATCATAGCGGCTGTCGACGTTCCTGAAGAAGCTGCTCAGTGGCTCGTCATACATCCCAGTCTGAAAAATTTAGAAATCTGGTCAGTGAATCACCAAATAAATCACATGGGAATTCACTGGAGAGTGTGTAGCCATGGAGATTACAGGTTTTCATCTGCACACACAGTTAGATGTAATTGAAGATATCCCTTACAAAGAAACAAAAATGTCAGCATGGTCAAATGGAAAAACAACATATTTATTCCATCAGAACAGTTAAAAATGTCAAGTAAAATCATCCCTTAAGTTACTGATGACATACACGTGAAGGAGTGAAGATCCTTGTTGCTCTTACTTTCACCTGTCATATCAACAATGGTGAAATATTTTCTGCATGTGTTTCTCTGAATGAGACATTTTAAAAATCAGAACCACTGACATGAAAATGAGCGTGTAGTCATTCATGAAACAAATAACATTTTATAATCCTATTCTTAAACATGTTCAACCTTGTTAACTGCGGCATGCTCTCGTAAAGCCAGGTCCCAAAAGCGGCATCCAATCTGATTCCCACATTGCCCCACTGAAATAAAAATAGAATCCTGATAACTCCAAACTCAAAAAGCGGTATGCCCTGTTAGATATTGTTGGCAAAAAAGCCTGTATGAAACACTTTCCTGTAAAAAGGAGATGTCTGATCCACAAAACTCAGCATCCAGAGTGATTACCCATACAAAGAAGTATGAGCATATAACACCTGTACTCAAGGAACTACACTGGCTACCAATCAGGGAGAGGATTGAATTCAAACTCCAGGAGCTCATCACCCCCTATCAGCCAAGGAGGACATTACGATCTATCTCCACACTCTTCGTTACTGTCCCTGTCACATGTACTGTCACATACGGAGATAGACCATTCTGCAAAGCAGGAGCTGTGTTGTGGAACAAACTTCCAGCCTACTTACGTGACAATGCCAACATCACAAGTTTCAGATCTGAACTGAAAACCCTAATGTTCAAGAGAGCATACGACTAAGCACCTTTGAGCAGTTTTCAGCTATAGAAATGCCAAACTTATTATTATCATAATTACTGAGAATGTGCACGATCAGCAGATGGTAGTGTTAGATACTTAACTTAAAAACTGTTTGAAAATGTCCTTTTCCTGTAGATTCATAGTCGGAAGACTTTCTAGGAGTGCCTTCGCTAGAGACATGCAGCTTTAAGACAGTTGCATGAGGTTATATAAATTTTATAGAACATTAACGTATACATCACGATTACGTACTAAATCTGAAAACAATCTATAGCACTCAGAGGATGACAGCCAATATAGTCATATCAACAATGCCCCAGGATGTGCCCAGAGAGCGAACCGATCGAAAATTCCTGATACTAGTAGCAATACTAGTTTAATACTGCAACTGTCCCACTGACTCGCTAGGCCATCTCTGAGATACATAGTTAATTACCCTTTGGAACAACTCTTAAAAGTTCATTTGTCAGAGATAGACAGTTAAAAGTTGATTTATTCATCGATATAGTTAATCGAATTACAGAAACAAATTTTACCTTGAACAACTATCGACTGTGTCATACTGAGCTTAATCAGTTTGCACCAACATCAGTCACTTGCGACTAAACTGGAACATATCAACTGCAAACTTCACATGTTTTGTTTACGACGGCCATATTGGTAGCATTAGAAGAGAGACGAGGGGAGGCAACTCTGAATTCAAACTCACGCTAAACTATTCTTTTGCTTTTCGTTCAAAGTATTGTATAGCGATGAAATGAGTTCGAATCTATTGGGAGGCAGACATAGGACATGACGTGTGATTATCCATTTTTATTTAATGTTTAGTGTAATTACCTACACTATATAATCGGAATATTTCACCAAGTTCACCTGGTTCGCGCTCGTACATTGAATGGAAAACGAGATACAACTCTTGTTCTAGGTAATTTCGGGGAGGACTCGGCTATTCTGACAAATACTCAAATAATACGGCCAAAGTATTTATGGAATAATATTATCATCAGCCATTTCTCCCTCAATGATAATGCTAGTCATCCATCTCTCCACAGGACTGAATCTGTGATCCCTACTACGATAGATGTATAGTACAAACGTGACTGATTGTATGTGATTTGTTTGAGTGGCATTGTATTTGAGTATGTATTAAGTACAATACTTTCAATAATGATACCGAATACGGATAATGCATGTACTTATATTGCTTTAGACTCAATACGTAAGGGGAATGTTCAAAGCGTTGACTCTATTACCACTATCAAGTGATAGTTTGGTTACCAGTCGAATTACCAGAGCTACAAACTACCCCAGACAATTTTGTCAAATTGTCCCAGATCCTGTTTTCTATATAGAAATATTCCTTTAGCTCTTATGAGTTTACTAATGGAACATTTAAAGGACATATCACTTCCTAATAACGTTTATATGAATAATTTAATATCAAAGTTGACAAAAACTATGCATTTATGGCTTATATTTAATAATTTTAAATAAATTAGGGCATTTTGACTACCCCGCTGGGGCAATTTGACCAACCCTGGGGCAGTTTGACCAAAAATCCGGGTCAATATGACCAAATTTGTTAAGGCATTTTGTGGCAGGGGCAATTCGACTGGTACCCGATATTTTGTATTAGATTGTCTTCTCAGCTCCTAAGTACACAACACAAGGTTCTTTACGGATTGCCAAAAGTTACAGGCTGTATTTGCGCACACAACAGGTAGCATATGTCTGTATGTAGCAAAGTGGACATATATTCCTTCTCTTATATCATGAACAAAATTAGCTGCCGCGGAGTTACACATTATCTCTAACCTATAACGGCAATCCACGTGGACACTATGTCAGCTACAGGGGGGAAGATGCTCCTTTCTTTGCCACTGTTAAGATATGGGAAGAGTCTCCATGGTGATCCAAGTCAAGGCAGACCTTCAATTGCCACCGCGTGTTGACAAAATACCGGATGATCGGCGACTCACCCAGCATAGCCAGTACATGGGGCATGGCCATATCTCTGAGAAAGTTGAGAACATATGAAGGAGTAAACTGGGAGTGGCAGAGGTTTCATCACGCTGGGTTCCGAGGCTTTCACCTCCATGTTCATTATCTCTCGTGAGAAAGTGCGTGAGTTCATCGGCAGACCCAACTGAATTTGTTGAGCGGTGTTTAACCATGGACGGTTCTTTATCAACCAGAGACGAAACACAGATGGACACGCCCTTTCCGAAGAAGGCCAAGTATAATGTGGCAAAGTGATGGCTTCGCTTTTATGTGATTAAAAAGGAATCCACCCAGTGTAAGACTACATCTAAACATCACCAGTGCATTAAAAACGATGCCATCATCTACACAAGCAACTTTTCACATTTACTCACTACGTGTCGAGTGCCAGTTAGACAGTTGTTCCCCCGCCGTGATATTGCAATAATACTGCTAAAAGCGGCGTAAAACCATACCCACTAGTCAAACAGTTATATTCACAATGCCTCTATAGAAACCTCCCTATTATGGCTATTAGACGACATTTTGGAAACACATAATACATTCAACGTGTATTCACGCTCAGTTTATCTGCAAAACGGTCTGGAGCAAGTTTGGATAACATTTTGTGTTTTTGTTTTGTTTGTAGGTTAACGCCCAGTCAGCGAGTCCGACCACTGGATCCCTTTAATCGCTCTGACGACAAGCATGGGTTGGTGAAGACCAATTCTAACCGGAATCTTCTCGAGATAGTTTGGATAGCAAATACTATAGGCATATAGCAGCGTGGATGAATTTGTTGATAATTCAAAACAGTTTAACATCCTGTCTGCTTGTTTCTGAATATACTTAACATAATTTCCTTTCAGGTGTGCAGCAGATAAAGGCATGCTATCGTCTCAAGCTACGGTCGATCACTCCCCACCATTTCATCCCATTGATCACAACATGTGGGTGATAGATTGCATGTTCAAGCTGGCGGTTTATGGCGAAGCTCACACGTGGTTCCAGTCCTTCTGACGGGGATGTAGTCAGCCATGATATACATGATCCTGCAGCCTCAACCGACACAGTGGTGTCCCTCAAGGATCTGTCTTGGCACCACCGTTGTTCATCAGTTGTACCACATGTGCGACAGACATCACTGACGAGTATGACGTCACTCATAATGTGATTCAATCAGCTAATAGACAAAGGTAATCACTAGGCACCTGACAAACCTGTGATTAATGAAATGAGCATCGAGCCACGCCAGGGAATATTACGATTACGATAATGTTGTGGATGTGCTACATATGATATCTTTTCTCAGAGCCAGGACATCTACGCTCACATCGAAGTATTGTCGAGGGTACATTTGTGTTCTGTTGTGGTTATATTTTCCAAGACACAATTTTCCGAATTGATGCGGAAAAAAAAGAAAAAAGAAAAAGACAAAAAACAACAACAAAAAACCGAAGTCGAATCGTTTGAGGACGTTGCCATCGGACTGACTCAAGAACCCATGTTTGTTTTAGATTCGGCGGATTTAGTTAGCTCAGAGATGACTTGACGCCAACCTCTATGGAGGCATTTGTTATATACTGAACATCATTGAAAACGCACCACTTATAAAGGTTCAGATTATTAAAAGCACGTGTAAGGAATTGATATTTTTTGAGTGGATAATAACAGATCAGGCGCGTAGCAAGCCAATTTTTGCGTGTAAGCCCGATAGGTTGCAAAACTTTATATTAGACCGTATTGAGGGCTTGCCCAGCCTTTTTAGCAACAATCATGTGTAAGCCCGGGCTTTTTTTTACAATGGTAGCTACGCCCCTGCAGATGGACGACTGACAAAAACAACAACACAGAAAAGACGCTCATTCATTGAAATGTTCCAGTCAGAAAGGATCAAACACACGTGGGGTCAAATCGAAAAGTCAATATCGCGTGTGACCGCCATTTGCATTGACACATGCAGTTCAACGTCTCCTCATTGAGTCAATACGCGTCCGAATAGAGTTCTTGAGGATGGCATTCCACTTATGCAGTAGTGCAGCCTCAAGTTCCCGGATGTTTCGCATCTGTTGTCGCCGCGAATGACTTTGACAAATTTCGTCCCACAAGTGCTCCATGTGGGATACATCTGGCGACTGTGCTGGCCAATGAATAACCTGGATGTATTGCTGGGCCAGATACTGCATGGGAAGTCTTGTTGTGTGTGCCCGTCCGTTGTCCTGTTGAAAAGTATGGACATCTTGGTGGTGATTGAGATACGATGTGATTCTGAAGAATCTGCTCACGGTAATAAAGGGCATTAACTCTCCCTTGACAGACATGAAGGCAGTCCTGTGATTGTAATTTATTCCGCCCCAGACCATGACACTCCCACCACCCAAAGGTCTGTCTGAACTACACACTCATCAGCATAACGTTCACCACGTCTACGCCAAACACGTAATCGGCCGTCAGCATTACGTAGATGAAGACGTGACTCGTCAGTGACCATGCCATTGTTGTAACCTTTACTGAAAATGCCTGCTAGCCCATTGTATACGCTCATTACGGTGTCTGTCAGTCAGAATTGGTCCAACGTAAGGACGTCGAGCATGGAGCCCTGTAGCGTGTAGACGGCGTCGCATGGAGTCAGCGCTGATGACCCCAACGTCAACCTTGAACTAGTGCGGCAGTCCTGGCAGTCGGCAGTGTTCAATCACTGATATGGACAAGGTCAATATGGCGATCCTGATGGAGCGTCGTAACACGTTGTTGCCAAGGTCATTGAAGGTCACGGGTGCTGCCTGTCTACTGATGTCGTCTATGAAGCCTAACGATGGTGGAGTGGCCAAGTCCAAGTTGTCGAGCAATATCCCTGCTGCTGGTGCCAACCTGAATCATGCCTAGTGCACGTTCTCTTTCGGCATCTCTGTCCTCGTTTCACAATCGTTAGTGAAGCAATGAGAATCGGTTCTCATACACCTGCTTTTAATGTCACAGTCAGTATGATTTCAGAATGAAATTCGCGCTTTTTTCATGGCGTGGCTGCATGTTGATGCATTTTGGAATTAAGAGTCATACTGTGGACAGGAATTTGTTTCTAAAGCATTTTTTCAACTGGACATGCCCTTCGACTTCATGTTAGTTATATTCATTGATCATTGTCATGCTGAAATCCATCTTGATGAAAATATGGACAATTTTAGACTGGTGCGTTTTCAATGATGTTCAGTATATTTAGGATTACACTTTCTCAGTAAAGTACCGATTCTAGTAGATTTGTTAGGATGAATCCCATCCAGGATTCGAACCCACACTCAGAGTCGCCAGCACACAAACTCAGCCATCTAACCCACTGAGCCAGCAAGACTTGTCTATGAAGAATTCATTCTGGAGGAAAAGATCTTAATGAACTTCCCAAAGGCGACATAGACATAGCAAAGAAATAAAGTGTTTTATTACAAATAGTATCAAATATGGAATACAGTAGTCTACAATACTACGATGTCATGGAAACCATCAAAATAGCAATTACGTTCCATAATAGCAGAACGATCCGGTATTCGGTATTTTGAGGACACGCACACCGGTTCCCAATACAGTATATAAGAGACCGTTCAAAATGTATGGCTGGTGTGTGTGTGTGTGTGTGTGTGTGTGTGTGTGTGTGTGTGTGTGTGTGTGTGTGTGTGTGTGCGTGCGTGCGTGCGTGCGTGCGTGGTGGGGTGGTGATGATGATTTTAAGGGGGGTCACCCATTTTGTTCAATTTGTACACACGAACTAGGGGGGTCAGCAATTTTGTACATAACAATATGTTTAAAATTATGCTTAGAAATTATGGGAAGGTGTGTGTCGGGTGTGTGTTATTGATTTTGTACATGACATGCCAGGGGGGTCACTTATTTTGTACATACATTTTAGGGTGTGTGTGTGTGTGTGTAATTCACATTGTACATGCTTCTCCATAAAATTCATCATCACTCCTCTAGCCATAAATTATGAACGGTCCCTAAACACACAAATAACATTTGTAAACTTGGACTGCACAGCGAAAACTAAAGACATTTGCGAGCATCAACAGGAAATGTCTTGTCACAACTATGCACGCTATATAAGGATATATATCTTACATGGAATTGTTTGAAACATGAATAAATATGTAGTTCATTTATATGTATTGAGTTCAGGGTCTGAACAGTTTATAGAGCAAAACGGGGTAAGTATGATTAATTAATAACAATGTTGCATTTACCCAGGGGGATTATGTTCAGCAACATATATCTAACTTATTTATTGTTTTTGCTGCATGGTGATTGGCCAGTGTATTCATTGTTCATTGTCATTCGGGTGAGTGAGTGAGTTTAGTTTTATACCGCATTCAGCAATATTCCGGCTATATGGCGGCGGTCTGTAAATAATCGAGTCTGGACCAGACAATCCAGTGATCAACAGCATGAGCATCGACCTGCGCAATTGGGAACCGATGACATGTGTCAACCAAGTCAGCGAGCCTGACCACCCGATCCCGTTAGTCGCCTCTTACGACAAGCATGGGTTACTGAAGATCAATTCTAACCCGGACCTTCACGGGTCAAGTCAACAGGAAGGTTACGTCATATATCATCACATTGTCGTAAATGATTGCATGATTGAATGATGACAGTACTTACTTCGTCAGAGATTAACAATTATATAAAACCTTCCGTTTAAAAATATTTTACTCATTGTATTCATGGCGACATTGAAGCGTATGGAAAGAACACCGGTGACGTAATGCATACGGTAGATACCTAATTCCTCTATTCACACGTGGATAAAGAATGAGTGAGTTTAGTTTTACGCCACTAATATATTCCAGCAATATCACGACTGGGGACATTAGGAATGGGATTCATACATTGTACCCATGTGGGGAATCGAATCCTGGTCTTCGGCGTGACGAGCGCTTTAACCACAAGGCTACCCCACCGCCCCACCTGGTTCAAGAAAGGGTGAGGTTTAGGATGCATATTTTGCAAAGGATTTGTGTGTGAATGCATGCATTACATCTTTACCATCTCCTTGTTATATAAGGTAAGCTGACCCCGTTGTCCCCGACACTGGATATATACTCAAATGCAAGCGAAAGTAAACGTTGTCAATCATAAGTTTTTCGGATGCCGACGAACTACAGTCTGCTCTCATTTACTTTGAACATTTTGAAGTATATTCGTGTTTAGCGGGCCGAAGGGCTCCCTGAAAATGTTTTTACAATCACAGTTTAAACAAGACTTAAATGTTCACTTCAATTCTGTGAAGCAATATTTGTGTTTTACACACTATATCAAGTAGTAAAGTATCATCCGATTCCTTGATAAATCTGTCAGACCATGGCAGTTTAACCTAAAAAGAAATATGAAATAATGAGGCTATTCTTAACTTTTTTTGAGCAGTATAATGATCGCCTTTATAATTAGCTACTACATTCAACTGCTTGGAAAGGGAATTTGACGTTTCTTAACACCAGTAGGCACCAAGAGGTATAAATAAGCACCAAGCTTTCAGCCAGTCATATCAAGTGGTTTGTTCTTTACAGAGTTATATAGAACACTTGTCAACATCAGTGTAATTAATATTTGTCTAAACTATTCATTCATGAGATCATAGTTACTTCTGCCCTAGAGGATACTCGCCTGAAAGGCCATAAGAAAAGGTGAAATGTTTAAGTTCTATTATATAACTTCCATCATACTGGAATAGCACCGTGGTTGAGAACACTTCTCCCAGATACTAGGAGGGGTCAACTCTCCTGTAGCTCCCGTATGTTGACTGTGATACCAGGGTGGCACTTGTGACACTGTCCTCAGTCTTGGGTATCTTCGCCGCGCCCCCGTCACCAAAGTCGTCCTCCTTGTAATCTCTCAGAAGTGACATCGTGAAGTCCTGGAGTGGAATACATTAGAGTGATAAAACACCGTTACGTCTGGTCTATTGTGGGCCAAGGTAAATACGAAGAATGTCTACACGTTTTCTTCAAAACATTCTTGTTTTTCATGACTACTCAGTTGGTTACAAATCTATAAATTAAACTTGATGCTCATGCTTAACGTGATTTTGTTTACTCACGCACCAGGGTGGTGGTGTCAATATGTCGGACTCGGGTGGAAAAAACGACATTTGAGTGTAAAAAGTTGTATAAGTCATTAAAAAGGAAAGAAATATTTTTCTATTTTTCTCTGTAACAGTGATGTAGTTTCTCTGGGAACGTGTAGCAAAAAGCCTTATCTGTTTAAATTTGACACTGAATAATAATTTCCAACATAAAACATAAACCGCATTGAAATATATAGAGCAATATACTCCTGGCAGACTTGTACAGCGTACAGTTATAGAACAAATTTCTCCGTACAGTTATATGATAGTCTGAGTGAGTTAGTGAGTTGAGTTTGATGCTGCCTAACACTATCACGTGGGACCGAGTTTCGACTCTGACCTGGATCTGTCTGTCTGTTACGCGGCCTCCGTACAGCTCTGGCAAGTTCTCCTGGGGAATGTACTCGTACAACTCGGCATAATCGGTTCCATGGAAATGATTCTGAAACATGCACAAATATGTATGTACCTATTGTAATGTCAGATATCATATATTAAAATATATAAATGGGTCGGTCCGATATTCAGCCAATACGTATTGAAAGTAAAATACTCTGCCCCTTCACACCAGTTACACTGATATATATCCGAATATTTATGCTCATTTAATTCCGTTTTCTCTCACACCATGGTTGAAAAAGTGCTGTCCAGTGATTTAATATCACTTCTGAGCCCGGGCGGTTGGGTAGCCCAGTGGTTAACGCGTTCGCTCGTCACGCTAAGACCCGGGTTCGATCCCCACATGGGTACAATTTGTCAAGCCCATTTCTGGTGTCCCCCGCCGTGATATTGCTGGAATATTGCTAAAAGTGGCGTAAAACCATACTCAGCCAGTCAGTCAGTCACTTCTGAGCCCATATCAATTACATATATATAATCTGTAGTTCGGAAAGGAGTTATATGACAACAATATACGTTTTGAACTTCTAAAAAAATGTGTAATTGTTAGGTATATAATTTGTCTTTTTAACATTTTACTATTGATTGGTGGTGAAGTAGCTTGAAATAATGCCCTGTGTTATCCAGTCACTGCAAAAAAGTTCGATTCGTGATTGACACTAGTTCCTCTCTAATGGTTAGTTGTATGATTAGAGTGTTTATCATATTTGCCCATGAACCAATAACGTTATGCTGGACCCCATGGTTGATACTTAACACTTTCTCCGATGACAATCAAGGTGTCAGGGAGATATTAAACACGTATATTAACACGGTCGTAGCAAACACATAGCAAATGAAAACCTAACAACTTTATACAGCTAACAAAATATATCTAGTTTATATAAGCAAGTGTAAATTAGCTTTCGCGTGTGTTATTTGTTATACAGACGCTCGTTGCTTCCAGTAGCTGGCTTTCATTAGGACCAGGCTAGATGGATCAAGCATAACGGTTGGAGAGAGGATCACAGATTCCTGTATGGACAGGCGTGTGTTTTGAGATCATGTCATCACTACTCTGAATGCTGTTGTGAGAACAAGGTATTATGTTTAACGGAACGTTTGAGGCTCCTTTCTTGGAAACAGGTCAAGAAACGTTGAGGAATGTATTTCTCATCCTCTTGTTTGTTTGTATTACTGCAAATCAGTTCATTATTTTCATCGTACATAGGACAGCCGCATTCAGAACATCAGCGGGTCCACTTCTCATAAACGAGAGCATCGCCGACACCTGCATGGAGGCACTGGTCATTGTGTTTGTCTCGCGAGTCCACTCGGTGGACACCAATACGACCTTTAAGTACATGGCGGCGGTCGGTACCGGTTTCCACGGGGTCGTAATCTACAGCCTGTCTGCGATTGTTTTCAATCTGCATCTAGCTATCTGCCACGGAACCGCTTTCAAGAGGCATGTTACCTGGAAGCGGATCGTGATCCTCATTGTTATCTTCTGGATGGTCAATATGTCCATATCCCTCCTTACTCTTGTTTCCGACCAGACTCGGATAGGTGTATCTCCCAACTATAGCGGTACATCAGCATGTCTGTGGGTACTCTTTGTCGTCAATACACACCTGCTTCCACTGAGTGTCACCGTATTCAGCTTCATTAAGATTACTCTCCAGTCGAAGAAGACCCTGCCGGTAGTGTTGGTGAGGCCTAGTAGACGGGACAAGATAGTTTTCTCTAGGTTAATCACTGGCTTGTCCATCTATTACATTACAGCGTCCTTTATGACGCACCTGATGAGGAGTCTGTATTTGAACCCAGCCATCCAGCAGCAGGTGACGAGCAGGGCGCTGATGGTGTTTGTCATGGCCCTGTACCTGTACCATGTCCTTAAGTTTCCGTTTTACATGGTCGTGTACAAACCTTTCAGACAGACGGTGAAGGAGATATTTCGATGGGGCGCGCCTCACATCCAAGAAGTGGGGGTGCCAGGTGCGTCTTCTGAACAGCGGCGACAAAGCCGGTGGTGATGATGATGATGGCTGTGACAATGACAGCGACGATGACGAAGCTAGTGATTATGACGGCGAATAAAAAGGTGGTGACAACGCCGCCGCCGCCAACAACGACGACGACAATGAATGATGATGATGATGATGATGATAATGAACATGTATGCACTTAGTGTTGTTACCTGGAAGGTCAGTCATATTACAGAAAAACAACACAGATTAAGTTTATGTTGATTATAATTGGAACGACGATGTCATTATGTAACTTTGATGTTGATGCGATGTTGAAGAAGAAGAAGAAGATGATGATTCGGGAAACAGCTCCTGGTGAAAGATGTCCACGATTCAGTCAGAGATAGTGCCAATGATGGTCCGGACGGAGGAAGATGCGCTATCATGTTGTTTGTTTGTTGTTTTCCTTGTTTACCGTCGGACAATATTCCAGCTATGCGAGGGTGGTCTGCAAATATCAGGCCTGGACCAGACAATCCAGTGATTGACACCATGAGCATCGATCCACGCTATTGGTTACAAAGAAACGAATCGGTCAAGAGTAAGTAGCGTCTTCGACATGCATTGGCTACTGCAGATATATTCCTACGATGACGTTCACGGGTACGTGGTGATGTTTAATCTGTAAATGTTGTTGGAACAGATACATTCAAAGATTTTAGGAGATTGAATGGGGGGCAGATGACGCAACAAATGGAGTTGGTGTTAATGAATAATGGCAAAATAAACGCGAATGGACTGATTGTCATGGTGGTGAGCGACAGACGTTCGCCGCGGAGATGTTGATCAAACATTGCTGCGACAGACGTCCACCGCGGAGATGTTGATCAAACATTGCTGCGAGAGACGTTCGCCGCGGAGATGTTGATCAAACATTGCTGCGACAGACGTTCACCGCGGAGATGTTGATCAAACATTGCTGCAGAACATCCACCCACCATGTTATCATTGACGGGGCAAAGAGACATGTAATAATGGTGAAATGACAGCGGTGATGTTGATGTTGACGACGATAGTGCATTACGGTTGGTGGCCCTGGTCGTTACCATATCAACGAGGACGCCGGAAAGATCCATGTCGCGATCGCTGACTTGGTTGAAGCATGTCATCGTATGTTGATGTAGGTGTATTACTGACGGTGACGTCGTTGATGTTGAAATTCACGACGATGGTGTTGTTACTGATGCTGATACAGATGACAGTTTGCCTCGGTGACGTTCGTGTTGACAACCAAGATGTAAAATAGGGAATGAGCGAAACGAACTCTACATCGCCATGATGGTGGAACAACAATGACAATTCGTGTATGAAACGTGCAGACGGAACTCAAGAATGTTATTGGTATTGATGTCGATGTTAAAATTCCATTTGAAAATAAATCATGGTGTGCATAAATGTTTACTTGTTATATGACATTGGCATTTGTTTATGTAATGTAGATGTATATAAATATACACAAGTTACACAGAAATATATTTGTATTCATTAACAGAAAGTGGAATAAGTGGTCGTGTGTGCGTGTGTGCGTGTGTGAATGTGAATGTTTTGGCAGTGTAGTAAACTTCATAGCTTTTAGGTGACTACATCGCTGTTTCAGTTCCATCTACGTTGAGTGAGTGAGTGAAACTACTGCTTTCCGACTTTGCCTCTGCATTGGATTTTAATGGCTATATACTTTAGATACATTTAAAGAACTATATCGTAAAGGTATACACAGGCAAAAGTATCAAACGTAGTTTCTTTAAAAAATGGCTAAATTAAAAAGAAAGAACTTGTCCCCAGTACTAAAAGAGTGAGTGAGTGAGTTTAGTTTTACGCCGCATTCAGCAATATTCCAAATATATGGCGGCGGTCTGTAAATAATCGAGTCTGGACCAGACTATCCAGCGATCAACAGCATAAGCATCGATCTGCGCAATTGGGAACTGATGACATGTGTCAACCAAGTCAGCGAGTCTGACCACCCGATCCTGTTAGTCGCCTTTTACAACAAGCATAGTCGCCTTTTATGACAAGAATGGGTTGCTGAAGACCTATTCTACCCCGGATCTTCAAGGGTCAGTACTAAAAGAAGAAGAGTTGCCTTAATCGAGTTTGGAAGGAAACACAAAGAGTTTTTGGTGCTTGTATATGTGTATATCTAGCACGAGTAACTTAACCGAGAGAGGGAGGTGGGGTAGCCTAGTGGTTAAAGCGTTCGCTTGTCACGCCGAAGACCCGGTTTGGATTCCCCATATGGGTACAATGTGTGAAGCCACATTTCTATAACCCCCGCTGTGATATTGCTGGAATATTGCTAAAAGAGGCGTAAAAAATACTCACTCACTCACTCTTAGCCGCGTTGGGACTCGATTATCAGCTATTGTGCAAGTCAAAGCATTGATTACACAACAGTCTCGTTTCCTGTTGACTGGGTTCCGTCCTATTGCGCAACTTAGTACAATAACCAGTCCAGAATTTTGAGTCAATTCATTCATTAAGTGGATACATAAATATTAATCAGTATTATTTGATACATCTAAGCACTTGTATATTGCAACACTACGCTCCTTCTAAACCTTGCAAACACGTCCTGCAGCGTGCTCTGTCGTACAACGAGCTCTGACAAACGGAAACCTGGAAATCGTGGAAATCTCAAAACGAGGCTCTGCCGCTAGAAAAGTTTGGCGGTCTGGTACAGAACTGATATTATATCAAACACATTGTGCGTTACAGAACTACTATGAATAAGCGCAAAAAAAACCCACATAACAGGTGTAACCAGTGAGCCAGATGCATTGTAAATCATTTTACGACCTCATCAAACTGGAGCAGTCTGTGACGTCTTAGTTAAGGTCATGCTGCCTACACCTCGCCATAAAATATAGAAATACGATGTTATTAAAGTTTAAAATTAAACTTCATTTGTAAATACCATTTTCTTATGAAAAAAGGAATTGGAAGTCATTGTAACCATAGTTGTTTGTGATGTCTATTTTTTCTTTCACACGATAAAATTCGGATCGGCTGAAAAGTAGGTCATTGTCTGAATAGGTTTATGAGACTCATGTATCGGTTTGTTGGTGTTCGCACCATTCATTAACCATTGGTTTGCCTGTGCCATACTCGAACGCACACTATAGAGCGCAATAAGCTGGCTGTGGTACTGCTAATGATGGTGTGAACACATATTCACAAAAACACATTACTAAATGGAAGTCTTACCCGTCCCTTCAACCTGGTGCTAAAGAAAGGCAAGATGAGTATGCACAGTCGATCAATCTCATCAGATTCGTTCATGTTGTGGAAACCATCAAACCGAGCAGGAAACGCCCCCTGGAAGCAGTATACAGTTCTGCAAATATCTAAGGATATGTGATAAACGGAAGTGCAAAAGAAAGTATATTCCCGGGACTGATAGCAAACAGCGACATGATGGTTGCATCCCATTCCTGCCTACAGTCCCAATTTGTCTACATCCCAGTTTGCCTACAAAAATGCAATACACCTCATTATCCCCGTATTGCCTACAGTTGACTTTTGGTCAAGTTCATTTTAGTAATGGTAGAATAGGTCAGCATATTAACCTGATCACTGGACCGTATCATGTTATTATAACGAGTAAGCAGAATGGGACTGTAGGCAGAATGGGACTGTAGGCAGAATGGGACTGTAGGCAGAATGGGACTGTAGGCAGAATGGGAAGACACTGACATGATTGCGAGATGGGGGTGTGTTTGATGGGGGTATCACAGTTCTGCTGTCGACCTTAGTTTTGCAGTGTTTTGGAGACTGTTTTCAGTCGATTAATGTCATTAATCCTCTGACCCGGAATCCCGCTGTGGTTCTGTCACCTCTGACCCGGAATCCCGCTGTGGGTTTGTCTATACTCTGACCCAGAATCCCACTGTGGTTCTGTCAACTCTGACCCGGAATCCCGCTGTGGTTCTGTCAACTCTGACCCGGAATCCCGCTGTGGTTCTGTCTATACTCTGACCCAGAATCCCGCTGTGGTTCTGTCTATACTCTGACTCGGAATCCAGGGTGTTAGCTAAATATAGACCTACCTCGAACAGCTTGCTGACCTTCCGCATAAGTGGTATGGATAGTGATTTAGAGTGTTTCCATGACAACCCTTCCATGTCCTCAAGAATCCTCAGTCCCCCAATTTGAGTCTCAGGATCCTGAAACCGGCGTTTAAAGGGGGGTCAAATGGCATCGGAACGCCAAAGAATGAAACAAAGATGATCGTACATGGGGCTTCCTGGCTTGAAAACGCATCAGATTCACTACCAAGTTTACACATCTTCGTTTCTAAATGGTGGTCTCTTACATGGGAACGCAATTCAGGTAAAATATTTGGAGTCTGGTTAATTTCTTCGGCAAGCAACGTAATCAAACCTGGTAAAACACATCGGCGCTATATATGGGGATTCGGAAATAGGGGAGGCAATAGCTCCAAAACCAAATACAACCCATCGACGTTCGTGCATTCTTGACAGGGTGGTGAAACAGAATGGAGAAGGAAACTAAGTACGTCACATCTAAAACAGTGTGGTTAAAACAGTTTCTGACAGATTTCTCGACTACCGGTACAATTAGAAAAGGATAAAAAACCCAACCATTTAAGTCGTTAAACCTACCTGTATGAGTTTGAGATGTAGAGAAATGGTGAGTCTGAATAGATCTTCCATCGGGGTGTTATCCGGGTCCCACAGACCTGAAATAATGATAGGGAGTGGGTGAGTGAGTGGTTTTGCGCGGCTGTTAGCAATATTCCAGCAATATTGCGGCGAGGGACACCAGAAATGGGCTTCACACATTGCACCCAAGTAGGGAATCGAACCCGGGTCTTCAGCATGACGAGCGGACGCTTTTAACCATTAGGCTACCCCACCGCCCCAAATAATGATAGAACCAATGATATCCCATGTAATCAAGAAAACACGACACTCCCCTATTCTGACAACGCTCTACCTAGGGGTGAAACCTCTGACTCACCTATTCTGACATACAACGCTCTACCTGTCAATCCTCTGACTCACCTATTCTGACGTACAACACTCTGCCTCCCTGCACGTCGCGGCCTGGTAACACCCCGATGAGGCCGCTGTGAACGATGTCGCGAGCCTCCTGTAGCGGTAGTGGCGTAAAGAGTTCAGGGTTGTTGGCCTTGTACTTGTAAAACGCCTTCACGCAGTCGGACGTCTGCTTTATGCGGAATTCGTTCGCGCGGAGGAATCGAAGCAGACGATTTTCATCTGCTGCAACATCTGGAACTGTGAACGTGATTGATTATTGATAGGTCCTTTTTAGGTCTTTAACTTATAGGTTCGATTCAAATTGAATGTATTCGCAATACTGATATTGCTGACATCCGGGACAATGTTTTGATAACATGCATATTAGTAAAATATAAGGTTACGGACAATAAATATCTGTTGGGATATGTCTGGGTTTGTCCCCCGCCGGGGTATTGCTGGAATATTGCTAAAAGTGGCGTAAAATCAAACTCACTCAATCACTCTTTTTCATGTGGGAAAAAACCCTATAAAGTAACGCCAATCCTAGACGTAGACGTAAACTTATGAGTAGACGTTTACTGTTTGCGTAGATTCAGAACGGCGGGGAACTTGGGATTCAAACCCAGACAGTCGGATCCGACCACGACAATGCACAACGAAATGTGGCGCTTTAAACCTCCAGGCAATCCGAGAAAAATGACGAACAATGCCATGTGCGTACTATGTTACAATGTCATGTGCGTACTATGTTACAATGTCATGTGCGTACTGTGTTACAATGTCATGTGCGTACTATGTTACAATGTCATGTGCGTACTATGTTACAATGTCATGTGCGTACTATGTTACAATGTCATGTGCGTACTGTGTTACAATGTCATGTGCGTACTATGTTACAATGTCATGTGCGTACTATGTTACTATGTTAAATGTGTACTATGTTACAATGTCATGTGCGTACTATGTTACAATGTCATGTGCGTACTATGTTACAATGTCATGTGCGTACTATGTTACAATGTGCGTATGTGCGTAATGTATGTGCGTACTATGTTACAATGCCATGTGCGTACTATGTTACAATGTCATGTGCGTACTATGTTACAATGCCATGTGCGTACTACGTTACATACTATGTTACAATGTCATGTGCGTACTATGTTACAATGTCATGTGCGTACTATGTTACAATGTCATGTGCGTACTATGTTACTGAGGTGAGTGCAATAAGTTAGTCTAGTGGGTAAAACATTTGCCGTACACCTGGGTTCGATTCCCCACATGGCTGCTAAGGTGCGAAATTCTTTACTCGTGTCTACTAAATTTCCGGGAGATTGCTAACAGCGACTGATAATCTTCCCCACGCACCACCATTATTTCAGCATCAGTGCATAGAGAAGTTAAAAACTCCTATTTGTTCGCATTGTTTACTAAACTGTTCACTAAATTATGAGGCCGCCTCCGTGGTGTAGTGGTTACAGTGTCCGCCCGGAGAGCGGAAAGTCGCGGGTTCGATCCCCGACCGCGTCATACCAAAACACGTTAACATATGGTACCTGTTGGTCCCTGCCTGGCGCTCGGCATTAATGGATACAACAAGGACTGGTCGGCTCGGAGTCAGTATAATGTGTCTGAGTGGGGTATTTCTGCTTCACTGCCCCATGGTATCTCAGTGGGCTAGCACTATAAAAGCAGCCGCACATACACATACATACGCATGCACGTCGTCATATGAGCGAAATATTCTCAAGCACGACGGTAAACCCAATTTCACCTCACCTCACCCACTAAATTATGAACACGCGATGCCGGCTTTTGATGACGTCTAGCGTTTCTAACGACGACTCTCCTCTCCTAACTGACCCGTGAACCGTGTCTCATACTACAGCCTAACAAGATGAACACCTACGTCATAGCTACTATTTGTACGATCATATCTCATATATTAGAGCAGTGTTCTGGAAGTTCAACACAGTCTTTTGTCACTACAGAATGATCACGACAGCTCTCAACCGGCAAAGTTGGGGAGGATTCTCGTTTGACAGGTTTCCCACTTTGTCCTCTGTGGTGCATGTTAAATTCAAAATTGAGCGCAATATTCATTTGGGACATACGAACATGGTTGCATAATTATATAAAAAGCTGGATACTCGTTCAAAAGTGAAATATGAATGCAGGAATGGAGAACACCCGGTGTCATCGTTGTAGGGTCATTATCATGATTTAACGGTGTAGATCTCGTTTTTAACTCTCGTAAAGGGGGTATGGATGAAATATTGTTTTAACTATCATGCCGCGTTTCAAATGAAACTGATTTACAGTATATATCTAACATGAGTTGTCAGGTAATGCGACCAATTCCGTTAAACATAATGAATCATAGTAACACGTTGACCAGAGTAGGCTGCAGCACACCAACCAATAATGACCTTGCAAATGCAACCACTAACGACATTATCACAGGGACCACCACTAACCTTGACATTTCAGCCATTAGTGAAATAACCATAGCAACCACCAATGACATTATCACAGGGACCACCACTAACCTTGACATTTCAGCCATTAGTTAAATAACCATAGCAACCACCAATGACATTATCACAGGGACCACCACTAACCTTGACATTTCAGCCATTAGTGAAATAACCATAGCAACCACCAATGACATTATCACAGGGACCACCACTAACCTTGACATTTCAGCCATTAGTGAAATAACCATAGCAACCACCAATGACATTATCACAGGGACCACCACTAACCTTGACATTTCAGCCATTAGTGAAATAACCATAGCAACCACCAATGACATTATCACAGGGACCACCACTAACCTTGACATTTCAGCCATTAGTGAAATAACCATAGCAACCACCAATGACATGATCACGCAAACCACCATTAACCTTGACATTTCAGCCATTAGTGAAATAACCATAGCAACCACCAATGACATTATCACAGGGACCACCACTAACCTTGACATTTCAGCCGCTAGTGAAATAACCATAGCAACCACAAATGACATTAACCGTCAACATATGAAGCTGTTAACACCCATCGGCCTTGACACGGGACTCTCTAAACAGCAATAACAGCATTATTGACTTTACTATTTCACACGCGCGTCTGTGAGTGTGCTATGCGGGTGTATGCTCCAGGCTATGTTACCGGTTGTCTTCAGGGTGGTTTGGATCTCCTCCATAATGATCTCCTTGGCGTCGAGATCTTCGCTCGCGTATATCGCAGCCCTCTCCTGCAGCTCCGGACTCAGCTCATCGGCCCCGCATCCTGCGGACGTCATTCTCCCAGGACTGAGATCAACTGTGGATGGACATATGTTACAAATAATATGTTTAAAGTTGTTGAATTATATATGAACGATTTTCATCTGCCTGTCATCTTTCGTTGTAAGGCTATGATACACATTGAAGTGTGATTCAGTACGTGATTCCCGAACTAGTGCAGTTAGGTATATTCGTCAATGAATTGTTGGGTTTAACGCCTCTTTGGCCGGTTTTCAGATATATCCCAACGTGTGGGCTTAATATGAGCGGAAAGCCCAAAGTGACGGGGCATCAGACGTTCACCACTACGGTGAAATAGACGAGTATATGTAATGCTGACACATCAGGGATTTGAACCCACGAATCTGACACGACTGACGCACAGCGAATAGGGGTACACACCGGACCTCATCTTCCCCCTATGCTCCAAAACAAATTGTATTCCCCTTAAGTATTAGGTGGGGTAGTCTAGTGGTTAAAGCGTTCGCTCGTCACGAAGACCAGTTTCGATTCCTCACATGGGTACAATGTGTGAAGCCCATTACTAGTGTTCCCCGCCGTGATATTGCTAGAATATTGCTGAAAGCGTCGTAAAACTAAATTCACTCACTATGGTAATAACAGTGGTTGTATAATGCTGTAAGGTATTGTTTGCTGTTTTCGCCACAGTCAGCAATACTCCAGGGGTCCCCAATAAGTAGACTAAAGCTTAGTCTCTGAATATATATAAGTTTGATAGTAACAAACAAGCCCATTTAAATTGAAAAGGAGACCCAGGGAGACCAGAGATCCTGAGGAAATCTAGACTTGCTTTATTTAGGGCTTTAGCACTGCAGATGGGGCTTGGCAGTAGGGAAAATAATGTGGTTCAGGGACTGTGAGACAGACTACCCAATAAACAGCGGACCATGCAGTGTGGGTACCATCTTACACAAGCGGACATGACTCTGACGCTCAGCGTGGTTTATTTGGATCCAGTCCCGGGTTGGTTTGTTGTTGAACGCTACTCAGCAATATTTCTATGGTGACCGTTTGTCAATACTCGAGAATGCAACATGTTGTCAGTGATTAACACCGTGAGCATTGATCTGCGCAGTAGGGGGACACTGATCTCTTGACATTCTCACACCAGGGGAGGGTGGGGGCGGAACATTAAGGTAGTCAGTGATGGACAGAGTGAGCATCGATCTGTGCAGTAGGGGGACACTGATCTCTGACCTTGATATTCTCACACCAGGGTAGGGTGGGGGCGGAATATTAAGGTAGTCAGTGATGGACAGAGTGAGCATCGATCTGCGCAGTAGGGGGACACCGATCTCCGACCTTGACATTCTCACACCAGGGGAAGGTGGGGAACGGAACACTAACCCCGACATAAACACAGCCAGGGGGCAGACCATTAACCCTGACATGCCCAGCAAGGTGGGTCAGTTCATGCTGGACACAGGTGTAAGTTTCATCCTATTTACAAGATTTCATTGCAGTTAGAAATAACAGATATGAGACGGGAAAGATAGGAAAACGATCAACTCACAATGTATAGTAGCCATACAATGACAGTTCAGTGTTGGAGCTCTCGCAATGAGATTACAGTGATGTTTAAACTACACTCGTGAGACAATGTATGCATACACACTGCCGTGGTGGTACACTATGTTCAGCGTTTCACTAGCACACAACAGCATCGTCCACTACCTATCCGGCATCTTTTACTTACCTTGTTAGGGGGATGCAAGAAAGATGTCGCTTGGCCTCGAGTGCTGTTATATTGAGACTGACGCTTCTTGAACCTGGTCAACCGTGAACACAGCCCCTACACAGACACACACATACACCCCTGCGCAGTGTCGGAAAACCTCATACATCCCCAACACAATACGGGTGTGTTCAAGCGAGTGTTCCCGTGACGTTTGTATCACGTACTTTGATCTCGCGCACTTGTTTAACCAGTTCAGGAATTTAGAACATGCGAAATGCTGTCCTGAACGAAAGCCGGATTCGCCTTTGATTTCTAACGTGAAATGATGGTTAAATATTTCGATGATATAAGATATGTTGGAGAACATCCGGAGATTTGACGGTGTTGTTGGCCGGAGGTTTGAAATGTGAACAGTTTCGTACATTCACAACTCAATAATACCCACAGATCTTAAACCACATCGTGTTTATTTAACTTTATTGACGGTAACTTAGTGGTGCATTATACTTTCTTTACAACTAAATTGACCCTGCTTGCATGATAAGATCATGTTTCCATGTAAATGTTTATTTTTATGTCTAGGGGGGTGATGATGATTTTAATGGAGAAATCGCCAAATCGAAAGGCCCTTTTTTCAAATTTTGGGATTTAGATGACATTCATGCCAATCAAATTGCAGTACCCTTTAACAATGGTGTTCAACATTATTTAGTGGGACTTGAGCGCCATATGGATTGGGAATTGAGTCACGAACAATTGACCAGAACCCTTGTTCTCGAAACAAAACGTACAGACTTACACACTTTAATATTGCTTTTTCCGCGTGAGGTTTTCTCCAGCGACCATACTCATATTATATTTGTATATGGTTTCTTATTCGGTTATATATTGCCATCACGGATGTTAAGACGTAAGCTCCATATACTAAATTCTAAGGCTGACAAGAATCCCGGATTTAAACATCTAACCTAACCTGTTTCAGGGGCAACTGGGTACGTGCAAAATTCAAACACAGATTGAAACATTTGTTTAAAACACTTCACCGAAACGCATACTTTGGCGTCAGTCGTTACGCTCCAATGGTCGCTGAGGTATATGAAAGGGAAAGGCGCAGAATATCTAACAATTTTCAATACTTGTTGCGAGATTTTGTATTCTTTTCTGTTCACCTCCTCACATATAGATATATCAAAAGTTATGGCGCTGACTTCTGAAGTGACTTGATCTGGAACGTGTATTAACAGGCCTGGGGGCTGACGGGCTCTGACTTCTTTGATCCTTGACGATTATGCCTGGAAGGCTACATTTGGGATGAGTATGTAATGTAATAAGTTTACACGGCCACCGAATGGGTTTAATTCATGGGACACCTTTTAAGTTTTCTTTTGTGTGTGTCATGTTTACTGTACCTACTTTGTGGGTACCAGCATTGCAGAGATTAGAATGCCATGCATATGACAGACCCTCGTAGACCCACACCGAACTTTATGTATTGTAGGGTTTACATCTGGTTGACCCTCATGTTATGACAGATTCACGATCTGTGGATGTAATAAAAACTTTGTAATGTTATCAAATACCAGCTTCGAGTGAGGTTTTAGAATGTATATTGCAGTTCGTTGAGAATATAAATACTGAAACTGTGAAAGTGTGGATGGTCCAGAGAAATCCGCCGGATAAACAATTTCCGGATTATCATAAACAGCGAATCAACGAAAGTGCCTTGCGAAACGAAGCACACACCTGGGTTGGATGTGACCAAACACATGACCCAAACATGCAGTGTTTGCCCTTAACCCTGATCAGTTGCAGGCCCTAAGGACCCAGAATCATAAAAAGTTGTGGGTCCTGATCGGAATGTGTACACCCTATGCTTTTATATGGAATTAATGCTCTTAGTTATTGGGGATGAAAAAGCTGTAGGCCATAAAGACCTGCAGAAAACAAAATTTATGGGTCCGAGTGGTTTTCAGTCGGCTTCGGGCGTAAGGACGGACGTTAATTTCGAACGCTGCAAACAAGATACGATTATCCGATGGTGGTGTATTAGATACGGGTGTGATAACTGTGTTTCGGATGTGAAGTTTGCAATGTTGTGGGGACTGCTTTAATCTTAGTAACGTTTTTATAACGTTTGTTGTACTTTCTTTTATCGACAGTTTATGTAGTGTTGGTTTAATTATATTTGAAACCGTAATCGTTCGAAATCGTTGGGTGCGAGTTAACAGCGTCCATTCTACCAAGTGTCCGGTGTAGTTGTAAATCCTGCTATTGTGTTGGTGTCCTCCCATTACGCAGACAGCCAGTTCACAGACACCTTAAAACAACAACATTTACGGTTCAGTGAACAGATTATCTACTACCTGTTACCTACACATTATAATGGAATAGTCCAAATAAAAACACAGGAACAAACTGAAGCTTTATTATTTATTTTGAAAGATGGACGAAAAGACAGTAATTTGAATTTTCATTGCTGCAATATAAAAACAGTTTATTTTCATAAACATTTCGGTTTAATCTTCTAGTCTAACGGGAGTCGGCATCATCATATTGAAAACATTAACTTAGCTATTAGAAATTGCGACACTGTTGTATCGTATAAATCAAATAAAGACAAATATGAACCTAAATATTTTTCATATGGAATAAAGAAGTTATATGTTTTGCACACAATATTAAGGTATATGACGAGTGCACTTAACTACGATTTATTTAGAATAATTGAATAATGACGCATCATGTGAATGTGACCAAGGATGTGAGAATGTTTTTCATTACTTCCTTGAATGTCCATTGTATACTACTCAAAAACACAAACTGTTACAATCTTTAGAAAGTATTGTTAAAATTAGAACACTGATTGGTATTAATCGTATCTTACATGGCAATGCAGGTGTCTCATTTACTGCAAATCAGAATGTTTTCAAATATGTACATATCTATATCTCTCCAACAAAACGTTTTCTCAGTTAACGTCTGTTGTACATATGCTATTATTGGGAGGGGTCTTTTCTATCAATAAACACAATCAAACCTCTCAATGACAAACCTGTTTTTATATTCGACAGTAATTGATAGTAAAATCAATTTTGAGAAGAGAAATCATTTATCATTTAATCACAACAAAGTTTTATATTCCCACAATCAAACTTCTCAGTAACGAACCTGTTTCAGGCTCACCATGCTCTGCTAACTAGACAGTGGACTGTTCCATTATACCCGTAGGTGTCACCCTAATTAACCTTCTAGTTCAGTGTCTGCGAATTGGGTGTCTGTCAAATGGGTGTCTGTCAATTGGGAGGTAACCATTGTGTTCCGTGTAAACGGTTCGGAGGTTACAATCCGTTGCTTTGAGTAAACGCCACCATGAAAGTGATGAAGTGACGAAACCACGCATTTCGCCCACTTCCTCGTGTACTGGATTTTAGGGGGGAATTTCCATTTGTCAAAGCATGTTTATGTAAATACCATCATTTGGTGCCAGTGAAATATAACAGTAAATCCTGTCTTTGACGAGACTTTCTCTTATCCATTAACACAAGAAGAATAGACAAAGATTGGATTTTCATTCTGTTACCCTCAAAACAATAGTATTATTGTGTCAGTTAGAAACCCTACTCCCTCACTCACCCTAACCAAAGCCAACCACGTGACTTAATATAACGTCCCACTATACGTCGATAATGTGGGCGATTGATGACACCTCCAGCGTGCAGACATTTTTCAATGCAGCTCCTTGTTATGGACATGAAGTTACCGACGCACAGTGTTTCTTGAGATCTAGTACATGTTTAATGTCAGTCAGAACACCTTGCTATCCATTTGGCAAAATTAACACTAAGCAAAATTATTTTCTCTAACTGTGCATCCGAGAACTGCTATTCATTTAAAATGTGAAATAGCAAATTTTCTGCTTTTGGCTAAAAGGTAAATATAAGGTTATATTCCGCGTGCTTTTGAGTGCATCGTCAAAACGCACCATTACTATTAAAGGCTGGATCAGCGATATCCCCATACAAATAGAGGCGGCGCCGCTGTACAAACACGTGTCCCCGATGAAAACGAGCGCTGAACCAAAAATTTGCATAAAAAACATAAAACGGGAAAATTGACTGTTTACAATACACTTAATGTTTAGGATACTGATATGTTTTCGAAAAACTTATCTCAAAGACTGGCAAGTTTTTAGAGCCTTACAAGCCTTAACGCCAATTCTATTAATTGTCAGTTTATTTGAGGATGTGTAAATGCACAGATACGTGTAGACTAAGGCTTAGTCTCTGAATATATACAAGCCCATTTGTATTGAAAAGGAGCCCTAGGGAGACCAGAGATTCAGAACCTGAGGAAATCTAGACTTGCTTCATTTAGGGCTTTAGCACTGCAGAGAGGGCTTGGCAGTGGGGAAAATAATGTGGTTCAGGGACTGTGAGACAGACTAAGATACGTGCGGTGAGTACAAGTTACAGTCCGTTTGGCTCAAAAGCGGACCGATGAATTGCAATCTAACTCGAAAACTAATCAACATAACATACTCAATGAAACGCTGATCATAATCAAAACACCATACCCACTCATGGAGTTTTTTGCAGAATTTTTGTCCTAAAAATAAAAAAGTTGTTTAACGGATGGAGACGGCACAGCACAGGTTAATGAATAATTAACTTTGTCTGTGAACGTGCTTCTCGAACATCTGGCTGTCCCTTTCTCTGCACTCCTCCCTCGTAACAAACAGTGAACTGTGTCAATATTTTAATGATAGTTTGTTAAACAACTTTTTTAGTTTTTGGACAAAAATTCTGCAAAAACCTCACAGAGTGTGTATGATGTTTTGATTATGATCAGCGTTTCATTGAGTATGTTATGTTGATTAGTTTTCGAGTTAGATTGCAATTCATCGGTCCGCTTTTGAGCCAAACGGACTAAAGTTTGTTCTTTGAACAGATTGTGTGGATGCATTAAAACATACAACCTCAACCTCAACCTCAACCTCAACCTCAACCTCAGTCAATGCAACACTCATGCACTAGGCGGTGTACAGCGGCGAGCAAGCAGTATTAACTCACGTCTCTCATTCACCGATTCATACTGAACCTTGGATTGTATTACCGCTAACCACGTGTGACTGCTAGCTAGTAGGGTCGGGGTAGAATTCCTGATTTTCATAGCGTTAGTTGTGGGACAAGTACCATTCCTTGGTATGCATTCGTCTGTACATGCCATAGCATAGAGTGGAATCAGCTAGCACTGTTCCTGTAACATCACACACTTGAACTGAAGGAAGCACCATGTAAATCATTACATGGTCCCTGGTCAGCATTCTGTCGATTGGAACTCCGTGTTTCTTTATCAAAGTATATATTGCACACAGTAGGATCTACTACACTAAATCAGAATCACTTGCTCGCTGAGCCAGCGTCGTGTGTAATGATCGAGCCAGATAGAGACATGTGGCAGCTGTGATTGGATGAAATAGTGTAAGCTTGTTATGTTTTTTAAAAGCACATCCACCAAATTTTTAAAACTGACCACAATTTTAAGTATTTAGTGTTGTCATTTTTATCACCATGAATTATGCTTAATGTATGTACATATATTTTCAAGATGGCGACATTTGCTGCGGTACTGCGGTGATGTGTTCAGCTTCCTGTGCTCAGAAACTATACAGGATAAGTTAGCCGGAATGTGTTTTTATTGTAGCTTAAAGGCCAGACTGTACCCATGTGTGCATGGAGTGGCTGTTGACAGCGGGGGTGATTTAAAAAGAATATACAACGTTACTATAGAAGATCCGAAAACATGAGAAAACATTTGGTAGATTGTGTGTAACCAGAAGAGGTCTACGTGTTGATGTATGAGGTTATGTATGAGGTGTGTACGTATACATGGTGCTTCACACGTATTGATGTTTGAGGTGTGTACGTATGCATGGTAAATGCTTCACACGTGTTGATGTATGAGGTGTGTACGTATGCATGGTAAATGCTTCACACGTATTGATGTATGAGGTGTACGTATGCATGGTAAATGCTTCACACGTATTGTAGTAAGGGTTGTATACGTATGCAGGGTAAATGCTCTTCACGTGTTGATGTAAGAGATGTATCCGTATAGAGGGTAAATGCTCTTCACGTGTTGATGTAAGAGACGTATCCGTATAGAGGGTAAATGCTCTTCACGTGTTGATGTAAGAGATGTATCCGTATAGAGGGTAAATGCTCTTCACGTGTTGATGTAAGAGACGTATCCGTATAGAGGGTAAATGCTCTTCACGTGTTGATGTTCGAGGTGTATACGTATGCATGGTACGTTGTGTACATACATGAAGAAGTGTAAACAACAGTGTCCATGGGAGAATGAACCCGTGTCACCGCCATATTTGATTATAATTTATTCCATAATAACATTTAATCATAATTGGATCCGTTGATATCTTCCTTAAACAGTATTTAAACAGGTTCCAAATACTCCAGTACCTTGGCTAGCTGCTAAATAAATGCGTCAACAATACAAAGCCGTTCTATATAACCTGGATTTGGTGGACATTGTGATCATTATCGGGGTACTCTGACCCAAAATACTGAGTCGGGTGTGTCCATGTCTAGTAGCCAGCGTTGTCACGTGGGAAACTCTCTCACCAGGTACCCGTGAAGATCCGGGTTAGAATTGGTCTTCAGCAACCCATGCTTGCCGAAAGAGGCGACTAACAGGATCGGGTGGTTATGTGGTCACTCTCTCCCGGAACACCCGAGAACACCTCCCGATCGTCCATGCTGATCATTCTTCTGGGTGGTTATCTCATATCAATAATCTTTGCAGATTAGACAAAAACATCTCAATATTTGTTAGAAGGGTCCAGTTCTGAAATCTGCAAGTGTTCCCTCTCACGGGACGCTTCATTACATCGAGGGGCGGTGGGTTTGCCTAGTGGTTAAAGCGTTCGCTCGTCGCGCCGAAGACCAGGGTTCGATTCCCCACATTGGTACAATGTATGAAGCCTATTTCTGGTGTCCCCCGTTGTGATATTGCTGGAATATTGCTAAAAGCGGCGTAGAACTAAACTCACTCACTCACTCATTACATCGAGAACGAATAACAGCATACAAGTATTGGAGTTATGTTTTTTATTATCAAAAACGTTTCTACAAAGAGTTGATCTACAAACAGAATACCCAAAACATGAAAACCTTATACAAGATCCGATTGCAATGAGTATTTCACTGTAATTTGATCCGTGGTCTCCTGGTGTTGAACACGTAAATATCGGTCACGAGAAAACAATGTATATGAAAATAATCAATACAGCATATGGATATAACTGAAATGTTCCGAGTTTAAAACAGAAATGTGGAATTTTCTAAATAAAAAGTATATTTGGTCATGCAATATTTGTTCCAGGAGAATCTGTAAAAATGCAATACAGACTGCAATAATAATCAGAACAAAAGAATTCATAACGCATCTTGAATAATCAAATTATACACGAAGCCAAGTCAGACGATGCAAAAACATGGGATTTTATCCTTGACATTAAAACAAGGGCCCACAGATGCAGCTCAGCTTCATTTTTTAAACTCTCGTCACAGATTCATGAATACCATTTTCAGAGCCTGAACAATTAACAACACACATAGTATGCTATTTTCCAAATAGTCCATACATCGAATGCATAATAGTACTGATATAACGCTAAGAATACCAGATTCCTTTATAATACTACAGTTGATCTGGGATAGCATGACTGTATCAGCTGTAGCAATATGAAAGAAGTGGTCCTTATCTTCTTTTGAGTTGGACCCGTGAGGATCCGGGGTAGAATAGGTCTTCAGCAACCCATGCTTGCCACAAAAGGCGACTATGCTTGTCGTAAAAGGCGACTAACGGGATCGGGTGGTCAGGCTCACTGACTTGGTTGGCACAGGTCATCGATTCCCAATTGCGCAGATCGATGTTCATGCTGTTGATCACTGGATTGTCTGGTCCAGACTCGATTATTTACAGACCGCTGCCATATAGCTGGAATATTGCTGAGTGCGGCGTAAAACTAAACTCACTCACTCTGTTGAGTTGTATATTATTACCAAAAAGTTGAACAGTGACTGGGCTTTAAACCGCTTATAGCAGTCTTACATCGATGTCATTTTGTGGTTCGCGAAAAGGACTGAGCTGCATCATGGGCCCTTGGATTTACTGCCGTTATTGTACCGTAACGTCAACGTGTCATATGAACACATGCATAGATGTTCCATTAAAAATAATCCAAAACAAGTGAATGTTATTGAGCCAAGTACGAGTACATAAATGACAACAATGTGCATTAATGTGTTATTAGTTTAGCCAAAGTCAAGACCGTTTGAGATGAGATCAACGAGAACGTTTACAATGAAAATCATCTGGTCTTGTGTTCGGCTGAGCAGGTACATGACGCAATGCGACACAATGCAGTACAAAACATGATTTCCGGATGGTGTGAAGTCGAAAACACCCTACTCACGTACAAACACATATTTGGTAAGAAATGTTGAAAATATTGACAAACAGGCACAATATAGATGGAAGAAGCTTTGCTTGTTCTGGTGTTAGTCGTTCCATTCATTGGGCGTGTACATCATCTAACACAAGCTACATGGAAACATTCAGTCATACTGGTACGTAATGGAAGGTGAGCTGCATGTGTAGAGGTTGCGTTTGGGCGATGTGATCAGAATTAATTGTTCTTGTTCATTGTTATACCAACATGGAGTTGACAACAAAATTTTAGGGACAACGTCATAAATGTGTGGGACATCGAAATGTTCGAAAATGAAACCATTACAAATCAGTTGAAGAACATTTGTTCTTGTCAGCATTCTACTTCTTCGCACGAACGCACCCTATACACATTGTGATAATACCAGTGTTTTGGAAGTTCAACGTGAATAGTAGCACCGTATCCACAAAATGGCAGCTGGATTTATAAGATTTGAGCAAACAGACATTAGAGAAACACGCAGAGACATAACAAAACGCTATTCCCAAAGTCATTTAACAGACCAACCGTCACAATTTTAAAGGGGCTCGTTCCTGCAGATCGAACACGTGCCCTAATGTCTTTAATTTCTTTACGCTTTGCGGGGAATAAGATTACAAATGTAAACGATACCCGTTCAAAAATTACGTAAACGCGACTGGATATTGACACCCAATGTAGTTGTCAAAACTACGTATAGTAACCAGTTATTGTCATGGATATGTGTGCCTAAATCTGTAGGTATTTGAAACAATACGAGCATGACTTCCGCTGCCAAAGCAAAATATTTAAAAATAACCGGCTTTCACAGAACTTTCCTCTATGAAAATGTTCCCAAAGAGAGAGCCTACTTTAAACATCGGAAACAGTTCATGGTAAATTCAGCACTGCACAATGCATACACAATGGTCAACTTAAATCAGGGAGTACAGGAAAATAGCTGACGGAATCTAAAAAAATATGTTGTCTTTCCCTCTGTTACATGTTAATAAAGATAAAAAAAACTCCAAGAAATGTACTGGGTTAAGGTCCACTAGGATGGCTGTTTTGTTCATTTTTGAAGCGGCTGCCAATTAAGCAGGAAGTAAAGCGACAACTAGAGCAAAAATCCAGCGCCCTCTAGCGGTGACATTAACCTAAAGTGCTGGTCCATCCAGCCATATAGTAATGGAAGATCCGCCCGACTCCACATCGAAATAAATTGATTCCAATCCGTGGTGAATAGTTTTCATTTGTTTCGTAGTGGGATGAGGCATGAAGACCATCAGGACGATGTTTTGATTTTGAATATCCTCGTCAAGGTGCACGTCGCTTACAGGCCCGGATGTAGGAAATACCAACCCAGTTGTCAAGTCATGGTCGTACAATCTTACGTTAGGGTCCGACTCGTGACGGATGCTGCCCCCCATCAAGACGTGTCCACCATGCGTCCGAGGTGATCTTAAACATTAACAATGGGCCAGTATCGGGCACTTACAACCGGGTTTTCCTACCTTCGATGCAGTACATGACTGACGTCAACAGTGCCCATCCCGGGGCCGCTATGCCCAGCCAAAAGGACCAACTAAATATCTTTTTCACGTTCGGATGTTCGTCCCAACTGAGTTCAGCCTGAAAGTTTTGATCCGAGTGGGCGTTATAGCCGAACGTGACAACACCGCCTCCCATGGAGAGAGCTGAAAGAAACAATATTTACGAGTCATTGTAGTACGAGATACCTGTTATGCAACATATTCACCACTTGTTATGATGCATCTTCAGTAAATACTTGGGATATGTGAAGTGTGGACACACTAATAGTACATGCTGTGTTGAAGCGGATCCAGAACGTTGAAGAATGGAGGTAAGTCATGAGTTGAACAAAAACAGGTGAGATGAGGTGAAACGAGTTGACGTGAGGTAAAGTAGGATTTAAAGTCACGGATAATTACACTGATGTTGGGAGATTCATGCACGCGCGCGCGTCTGCTTGGACTAGCCCGAACTAATGTCAGCATTATAGAGCTAGCCCACTAGAATACCATTTAACAGGGATAAACAGTATGCTAACTCCGACCAGTCTTTGTTTCATATGTTCAATGCCTACCGCCAGGTATCGTACATAACATGATTGCGTAGATCGATGTTCATGCTGTATATCACTGGATTGCCTGCTCCAGACTCGATTATTTACAGATCGACGCCATATAGCTGGAATATTGCTGAGTGAGGCGTCAAACAACACGCCATATAGCTGGAATATTGCTGAGTGAGGCGTCAACCAACACGCCATATAGCTGGAATATTGCTGAGTGAGGGGCGTCAAACAACACGCCATATAGCTGGAATATTGCTGAGTAAGGCGACACGGCGTTGGAATATTGCTGAGTGGGGCCAAACACGCCATATAGCTGGAATATTGCTGAGTGAGGCGTCAAACAACACGCCATATAGCTGGAATATTGCTGAGTGAGGCGTCAAACAACACGCCATATAGCTGGAATATTGCTGAGTGGGGCGTCAAACAACACGCCATATAGCTGGAATATTGCTGAGTGAGGCGTCAAACAACACGCCATATAGCTGGAATATTGCTGAGTGAGGCGTCAAACAACACGCCATATAACTGGAATATTGCTGAGTGGGGCGTCAAACAACACATATAGCTGGAATATATAGCTGGAATAGTGCTGAGTGCTGAGTCATGCGTCAAACAACAAACAAAACAGAGCTTGAAACGTCTTTTATGTCCTTTGCTATGACACGGCCTGGGTTTGAACCACGGATCTTCAGCTTTCTGGGCTGACACTTAGTCCGCTAGATCACGGAGTGGCTGAACCTATACGGACACCGACTGACACATACGTACTCGGGTTCACTCGGCTTATTTCACTGTCAACATAGCATATCGAGCAGCAATGGAGCCGCGACACTGCACGGATTCACTGTCAGCAATGTGAAGACATGCTAATTTGTGCTTAATATGAACCGTTAAGTTAGTTACATGTTTTAGTACTCATGTCTGATTGTGTTGTGTCATGTGACAGTCACGTGCACAAAAATACTTCAATAAAATGATAGATTCCGGTAGTGCTAGTCAAGGTCCTATATTACTTATAGCGGAGGTGCGATATCCTTGTACCGTCTGAAACACAACTTCTCGGTTTATAGGGGCATTTCCTGGACTAGTATAACAATTGTATCTACAGGGCTCTATTTCCACGAATCTACGTCTTCCCGGGGTCTATTCCCATGCTTCTTGCGATCGCAAATTACCTGTCCTTGGTTGTCACTAACATGTTACCGACCAATCAAATGTCAAACGCCTCCATAAGGGAAAGAAAGAGTAAGGGAGGTAACTCGTATTTCCTCGAAACGAAAGTCAGTTTAAAAAAAAAGTGATGAAGGCATCTTTTCCACCAAAAGGTTTTGAGAGCTGCTTTTTGCGAGTTAGTAAGTTTAAAGAGGAACACTCTACAATGGCTAGGGTTCTGTGTATACACGTACCAGACAGGATGAGAAGTATGGAAACAGCAATACTGGCGTTGCAATCTTTACATCCACAGCACAGCGCCATTGTCGCCAACATCAACGACAGCAGTCCCAGCGCCAGCCCACACGACATCAGGGCCTGCGTAGCTTTCCACCAAACTGAAAAACGCAAACGATCAGTTACTATGGCGTTTCTGTAAGACACATAATAATAAAAACCTAAGTACGACTACAATATCATAGGGAGAATCCACGGTAACGACAATTAGCGGGAATCTACGTAGATGTTAACACATTGAATGTTATCGTTATCCTCCTTAAGGATCTAACAGATCACGTGGACCAATCAGATCTCAACATTCTGACATTAAGGTTTCACAAAGGTGTTCAGAACGCTTCCGAAGGTTTGTTCTGCAAAGACAAGCAAAAGAAGTCCCAGATGCTGCACAGATACATCCGCAATGGCGCTTCAGGTATGGCGTATTCGAGACAGAACACAAAGTGACTATATGATTATAACAGCTGTTGTTTGTTTTGGTACTGAGGGGGAGGAGGGACATCATAGGCTTGACCCTCCATATTGGAAGTGGTAGTCCTTCGATGCTATCGGAATGACCGTACCAGGCAAACAGACGCATATTCGTTTGAAGATGAGGATTCTCGAATAGGTATCTCCTGCGTTGGGAGAATCGTGCTCAAGCATTTCGTAGCGAATTCGTATCAACTCAGATAATGCTGCCTCCGAAGTGGAATCAAGTATTGTAAAATGATAGTCCGTCTGAGGGGGATTGTATGACCATGTCATTCAGGAAACTTTTATATATATTACCAGTTTAATTGTAGAATAGTTTAACTTATTTTAATTTTCAGTTAGTTGCTTGAATACAAATCTAGTTGCTACTAGTTTTGTTCCTGTTCTTTGATGCCAAAATTTTCGAAAAAATAGATGCATAAATCTTTCCCGTCACAAAATGCTGAAATATTTTGACGTGACGTACTCACTCACCAGGTACAATCAAAGCACACACACGGGCAGAACCATGCAAGGGCATGAACCAACCACACACATGTAAACCCGATAGTTGCTCTTTTAGACCCCATATGTTATTGAACGTGTTTCCATGACCAACAATCAAAATGCCAAACTATTTAACCGTGAAGGCAAAATGTTCCATTCAAATAACCGTCATTTGTTTCCAGTCAATGGACAAAACACTGACATTTGAGGGCGGGTGAATTTATATAACGAAGCAATTAGTGTTTTGTAATGATATTCTTGCTGTAGAGTTCGTCATAGTTTGTTGAAATGCGTGTACAATATATGTCCGGTCGCATTCAAATGTGTTTAAGTTCTAGCAATATCACAAGCGATATATGTGCTTTTGCGCGTCCACGTTTCATACCGCTAATGTATCTTGCCGGCATGTTTCAATCTGCCAGTGTAAAGGAATGAAAACAAATTGAAACTGATGGAAAACAGGTGTTCGATTGTGTTGAGGTCGACTTGAGCTGTGCCACGTGATTTCCTTCTCAAAGTACGTGAAGCTTTTTGTTTTTGTATATAAACGAGTGTATTCACCCGCCCAGAAATTCACGTGCAGTCTGCTCTTTTCGTAGCGGGGTATAGGCGATGTATTCTCTCATTCAGAAATATATTTTCCTCCAAGGAGTGATACGTGGTATTTTGTCAAGATCACATGAACCAATCAGATCTCAACATGTCAAATGGGTTCAGAACGTGTCTAAAAGGCGAGATCTTCTTCTCTCCGCGTATGTATTGCAAACACAAGAAAAGTAGTTCTGGACGCAGCACATATTCATCCGCAGTTGCACCGCTGTGGCAAATTCGAGACCGAATAAGTCTCAAGCATAAAGTCTGCATAAAGTGAGTGTATGGTTATTACAGATGTGCGTCTCTGGTACGGCGCAGAAATCATAGGTTACAGACGCTGACGTTATTCGAGGCATATGACGTCAAAGTTCTGTAATTGATAATATTTTTGATGGATCACGTCAAACGGTTATGCAACCTGTTACCATACTGGTCAGGTTGATGGCGACATAGGTGACAGACCGTCGGTCGAGGATCATACTGTGTTGATATTTATAGTTACCGGGAACATTCAATAGCTGTCATAGGTTGATTCTAAATAATCATATCTGGCACATTCCTGAAGATTGCACAATGTTAGAGGTATAAAATGATATCTCTGTCCTCAAAGACCGAGACCTGTGTTTGCAGATGAAAAAACCTTCAGATGCGTAAAGGGCACAACTGCCCCTTGTTGCGCCAGGATCTGCTGATGATGGAAAAGTCAAAGACTTCACCATGAGGTAAACATTAAAGCCGAAACACTATACAAAGCATCCTGTAAATCAACTCACTCACTCCTGCTGTTAAAAGTTCAAAATGACACTGTATTAGTTGTCACCTGTTTATTGACTGTCACTGGGAGACATGAACGTAGTCGTAAAGGGACCAAGAAGTTTGCTTGTTTGTTTCAAGCCGCACCTAGAAACATCCCAGCTATGTGACAGCGGTCTTTAAATGATCGAGTCAGGACCAGACAATCCAGTGATTGTCTGACTGACATCATGAGCATCAGTGTACACAATTGGGATACGATGACATGTGTCAACCATGTCAATAAGCGCAAGCACGGGTTCTGAAGACAAATTCTACCCCAGGCCCGGATTCGCTGGCTTGGTTGCCAGAACCCAGGCCCAGATTAGCTGGCTTAGTTTGCCAGAACCCAGGCCCAGATTAACTGGCTTGGTTTGCCAGAACCCAGGCCCAGATTAGCAGGCTTGGTATGCCATAACCCAGGCCCAGAGCAGCTGGCTTGGTTTGCCAGAACCCAGGCCCAGATTAGCTGGTTTAGTTTGCCAGAACCCAGGCCCAGATTAGCTGGTTTAGTTTGCCAGAACCCAGGCCCAGAGCAGCTGGTTTGGTTTGCCAGAACCCAGGGCCTAGATTTTCGAAGCCTTCTTAGCGCTAAGATAGTCGTAAGTGCCATGCATTAACATTAACTTACGACAATCTTAGCGCTAAGAGAGCTTCGAAAATCTAGGCCCAGGCCCAGAACGTGGGTTTCGCCATAATTTTAAAAGTCTTCGGGCTTTCCTCTTCAGCTGACACACCGTGATGGAACTGAAATCCTGACAGCGTAAAACCCCAACTCACTCACATAACTGCAGCAAATATGTTTGTGTGTACGTGTTTCTGACGTTTCGATGAGATGGTGTTATCTTTTTCCACATGGGATAATGTCCGTTTGGCATTTAGAACTACACCAGATATACCGAGAGTAAAATTAGGAAAAACTCTCGTCGCGAAGTCTCAAAACATTAGTTGACATTTCTCTTGAGCGAGTTTTTGTTTTATCTAAGTGGTTGCTACCGGTTACCGATAATTACTTGACATAGGTTCTCATAAATGCCGACAAAAACGTCGGCATATTTTGAAGAGCTTTTGAATTACAGCTTCCGACGGATTGCTCTCCACACTAGTAACGATAATAGATGATTTAAACAGTGAAAATAATGGGAGTACACCCTGTCATCCCATTGTACCAAAAAGAACCTAGACCGCTAATAGCTGACTCCTTGTAAACAAGCCGTTATGTGTGATGGGCCGTACGCAGTAACTTAATTCTGAGTCTGGAGTGGGTGGGTGGTTCAACGCCGCTTTTCAGTCATATCACGACGTAATGGGTAGATGTGAGCGGAATACTCGTCATGGAACGACGCCTTATGTTTTTACACATGTGAGTGGAGTTTGAGTGACAGGTGAGTGGAGTTGGAGTGAGTGAGGAGTGAGTGGAGTGAGTGAGGTTTAACGAGTGAGTGAGTGAGGAGTGAGCAAGGTTTAATTAGCAATATTCCAGCAATATCACGGCTGGGGACATCAGAAATGGGCTTCACACATTGCACCCAGGTGGGGAATCGAACCCGGGTTTTCGGTGTGACGAGAAAACTTTTTAACCACTAGACTACCCCACCGCTCTACGCTTTTTTGTGAAACTGACAAGCATGGGTTTGGTGCTGACTGTGAAAATTAATCACCGCGAAACTGGGATTCGACCTAAAGATTTATACGTTTCTGGCCCTAGGGACGAACACCGAATGTGAACCACTTATACGACTGTGCCATCTGTGTCCCTCTGTACAAGGTAGTAAATGAGACACGGGTGATGGGGACCGAGGTTAGAACAGGCCCGCAGAAATGCATGGCTTTTCTAACATAGGACTATACGGATTGGGTCGCCTTGGTCGGTGACTTTGTTGAAAACGTGCCATCGTGCGCCGATGTTGATAATTATATTATATTGTCTGTCTGTCCATCCTTCTATCTGTTCATCTATATACAGTACACAAACGGAAATGCTTATTTAGCGATCCCACTGATAACGGACAGAGATACGTAAGTGTTACGATCAGCGGATCCTGACACCACTAAAGGGACGCTACTCAGTTGGTATCAAGTTGCATTTATTAGGCGTTCATCTGTAGCATGAGTAATAAGGAAGCAGAAACCACATCAATGATATCAACATACTGGAACTCGTATTGGAGAATACACAATGTGTGAAAGCCGATCTTTCAAAGCGCATAGGCTTATCGAATGTTTGACTGAAACATTGTATTCACAAAAGAATTATTTGGCACATGTCAGAGACAGTTAAACCAAATATTGCATTTATATGGCTGTCCAATTAGCTGGCTTGGGCAACCCGGTTTGACAGGCCTTTGAAGCATGTAATTATCATGCAAGCTGGTCGAGTTAAACGTTCAGAGAAATTTAAATAATTTACTTTTAACTATGACGAATGAGGATATAATTTTCCAAATACCCTATGGAACTAATTTAGATTTACATAACCAATGTCCTTTCTGAAAGAGCCCTGGGCACCGAGCCTGGAAGATTAAATGGAGACTTGAGTCTTACAACCCAACAACTTCCCGAGGAGCTTTTGATCTTCACGTTTTATAGGGTATGGTGTCGTTGATTTCATTTGCTCGCGACCAAATTTGAAGAAAGAATACGGTCCTAAACCTTGAAACATATTTTACGATTTCGTTTGTGAACAGTTCCACCATAGACTTGTCATGCTGAAGATGATTGCCCTGACCGCGAAGCAACCAAGGAAATTTATTGG